ACTGCCCTGTGGAACGGAAGTCTGTACTTGAATAGGGTGTAAAATGATGAATATTTAACAGACAAAAGTGTCTGAGAGGAAACCTTCCAGTGGGGGCTTGTCAGTAGTCCCAAATCACACGTGATTGAATTCTTTCACACAGCTTGTGAATATTGATTTTTGGTGACAAGGCTATCTTTGGGTTCTGACACCTACACCTACATCCTGTGACCCCTGATTGCATTATATTGACATATTCTACCTCTGATGGCCAGCTATCACCCTCAAGCCTTGGGAACATTTTAGGTCTCACAATATGGTTATAATAATTATATGCAATCATTAATTGATTGGTAGTTTCTTATTGCACGTATCTGATAATCATCTTGTAATGAAATTGTCCGGGACAAGTAATGTGTCATATTTCTTGAATTTGATTTGAGGACAGTCAGGTGATATATTTCTCCTTAAGTGACCAATGTAGAAATACACTAACATTTTGCTAATAGCTTCTTGAAGAGATTATCAGTCTCTAGATTGTTTTCATTATGAACAGTCTGGTACAAAATTATATCCATTGGCACATGTCAAACTCAGGGATCATCTGGGCACCTGTTGTAATTGAAAGAAAGTCATAATAAGGGAACTCTGTTATGGCAAGTCTGTTGGAAGTATATGACACATTGTTTTCTTATTTTGATTGTAATCAACATCTTCCCCGAATCTCTTAGCATGGTGCAGTCAAAACTGATGACTTCCAAAAACAACAGGTCCATGTGCTGGCGGCAGCTTTACTTGGTGCATGTGTTGAATAATAAAATGTTCTGTATGTCCAAAAATGATGTTTTAATTAATCATTATTTGGATAGCATGACCTCTCAAAAAATAAGGGAACAAGTATTGCAACTCTTATCTGAATATAATGAACAGTACACCAAACAGAAAACAAAAACTTTGTATCAAAACCCATACTTTATTATGGACTCTAACTGCTTGTTTCCAAAAACACTTTGATATATAGATTGCCTATCTGGCTATTTCCCATGAAGTTTTGAAATGGTTATTGCAAAATTGATATCAACAAAACCCTACAGATGATGGGTTGTTAGGTAAGAGAATATGATGGCCCTAGATTCTGTGTGCTATTATTCCTTAGGAACTTGGTGGTGGTCTAGAAGTTTCACCTTATCCAGGTCCCACATTGTGCAATGCTTGTTTTTGCAGAGTCTCAAGTTTTGTCTACTCTCTTTCCAATTAATTACCAGTGGACACATACAAATCAGGATACCACATATCTGGTTTGTGAGGAGTCATAACAGAAAAGTTAATATCCAGTGCCAGACATTTAAATGGGGGCCCATTTTAATGGTTACAAATGAGGAACCCAGGGAATGTGTTTGATTAATCTCCTCCCCCTAAGGTGCTGAAGATAAGAGACTTTGAGTCTATACTTGGACAGAGAATAACACTGGCCACTGTTTTTCTGGGGAAATGATATATGGCAATTGAACATGGAACATGTCAACTTGTTGAAGTTTGTAGATCTATTTTTGTCATTGCTTTGGCTAATAGAGTGACCTCTAAATTGTATTGTCTGCAGTGTATAAGCACAAAACTTTTAAGCCTCAAATATCAAATTGTTTTCAAAACATCTGTAGACATTGGATTTATTAACCTGCTGTACTATGTAAATCCTGATATCAAAGGCAATGGCTGGGGTGGCTATGACCCATGATGCTTTGAACCACTAACTACTGACCCATCACATGGACCTTGTGCCTGGAGGAAAGACAATATATGCTGGTCACACTCATACCTGGAGGTCAGCTGAGTGAATTGAACAGACTGACCAGAACTGCCCAGGATTAACGGAAAATATCCCCAAAATAGTCTAGTTTACAGTTGCATTTTTTTTCTATTTCCTTGTCTTTGTTTGTCTTACTGACTTTTAAGAAGGGGTTATGATATTTTAAACTGATGATAACTTAAACTGATGTTGACAGTTGAAGAAATGAATAGAAAAGAAATAAGCTATGGGAGGGTAGAGTTACACCAGTTTTGTTCAGAATAACCATGCAGAGAGAAGGAAAAAAGATACCCCTGTATGTTTGAGGCATGAAATCAATGGTTCACTAACAGGGCTCTGCTTTGAGTGCTTAAAAACATGTAGGGTCCCCTTCATTGATACTGGTCTCCACTGGGTTCTAATGAGATTGGTTTCAGTTTGAAAAGAATGAAAAAAACTAGTATGAATAACCAAATATCTGCAGGTCAAATGATGGAATTCTTGATCTGTCAGATGGCTCGTATTGTCTGTGGGTATTTTGAGATCTAGTTATGCCGAAGTTTTTTCCTTCTTTTCTTTTATTGAGTATGCTTGCGGGATTACCACACGTGCCGCCAACCAGATTCAATTACTGGCATTCTTCGAAACTCCTGCCTTAACATGTTATTGTGGATTAAAATTCAACCGAGAATTGTAATTGGTTTCGCGTGTGTGGAAATTTCTTTCTAGGTGAAAAAAAAATTGCTTTTCTCTCAGTGATAGAACTGTCCTTGCCCTCCTTGATCATGATGAGCCTTTCTGTAGTCATACACTGAAATTATTAAACCACATGTTACTGTGAAGTGTGTGGTCTGTTTTACTGATCTTGTCATCAGCAACATCAAAGAAAGGACAGAGGGATGGTTTTGATCATAGTTGTAGTATTTTAGTTTGGTTGGTCCCTGGATTTGTTTCCTATTCTCTGGGACACTCCCTAACTTGTTTATTACATCCATTTTGAAACGTCCCTGACTGCAGTTTGGTCTTGTTTAGTCTTCTCTTGTAGGAGAGTGTCGGTCTTTTTACAACCAAGATTATTTGCCCCATGGAGATGAGGCAAAATCGAAAACACAAGCATCTCTCTTTTAATATATATTTCAAAACCGAAAAAAAAGAGATAAAGAATATAAATAAATCTCTGAGCAAAAAAAAAAAAAAAAATGCCATTAGGAACTAGAAGTATGGCATTTGTGCATTAAGCACAGGCTTTTCAGCAGCTGCCTTTTGCCAGCATGTTTTTGCTTACAATTTATATATTTCTTCAGCTTTCAGCAAGTTAACATCTTGTGCCAGCCTGATTTTGTCATGGCTGTAATTAAAAGTCCTAGGGCAGTTACTGGTATTCTGGTATTCATATCTTGAAAGCACACTGCATAATATTAGCTGATAGCTTAAGGAAGAGATGTCTTTTCTAGTTATGCTCTATTATGATGTTAATCTTGAATAATTAAGGTGCAACAATGCATATCCAATCTAAAGTGCAATCTAAATGTTTTGTTAAAGACATATTTAATCGGTACATATTTAGATAACATATCAGGACTGGAGATCACAGTGTGCATTTGAAGTTAAAATTGCTCTCATTATAAAGCGACTCTTTATTCACCAGACCTGAAAGTCTATTGTACAAAGAGCATTCTGTTTTTTAAAACAGTGTAGACTTTCACAATAGGGACTGCACATGTTTCTTGACGGTGGAGATAAAAAGAAATCAATACTAGAGTCTAATAATGAGCTGTTTTCTCTGAATAAAAACCAATGTGATTATGTGACTGGTCTCTGATATAGGTTTCATTTAATCTAAACATGAATTAAGAACTTGTTAAAGAAAAGCTAAAGGTCACTGGAATAATAGTCTATAATTTCTCAATTGAAATGGATTTTTCTGGATCACCAAATTGCGTTTATCTGGATGGTTTCCTCTGCGTATTGTCACTTTTTACCAGCAGTAATTGCAATGACAAGACATGAAAAACATTAAATGACTATTGATATCAGAGACATCCACCTCTGTACTGAAGATTCATTATTTTCTTCCTCTAACTTAAGGTATATATATGTGTGTATTTAAAACTTTTTCTTTAACGTGTAAAAATGCACAGCTGGGACCCCGCTTTTCTCTCTAACAGAAAAGTTTCCTAATATATATCTATAGAATAACCTTTTGTTGATGTTAAACTCTGGTACATATAATGGAAAAGTCACAGAGCATTAGTTTCATGGCATGTGTAAATCTAGCTGCAATCATTTGTGTGTGAAGGTGATATTTGAGGTGCTTTATGCTGGTACTGAGTGGATTTTCCCTGCATTAGGCACCACATCTCCCATACTCGTGTCTTTGAACATTTTTAGATGCGCTTCATCATCTGACAAGATACCAGTTCTCATCTTTATGCTTTTTTTTGGTCAAGGTGAAGGCATTTGTTTGATTATAAAGGTGGAAAAATAATATATTATCCCATATACCCACATCCTTATATCTTATTTCCCTTTTATGACATGGAAAAGTTTTTTTTTCTTTGTGAGAAAGGTTTTCTAAATGTGAATAGGAAGCAAACTTTTATTTAAAAATAAAGAAAAACTTGAAACTAACGGTTTGCCCATGTTTCATAAAATTATATTGTAGACAAAAAAGATATCCTTTTAGGAATTAACTTAAATTTTAAATAAATTTGCTCCTAAAATTGCATTTCTTGAATTTTGAAGAAAAGTTTTAGAATGCAACTGTGAATAAGAATTCAATTACTATAGTCCCATAAAATGTTTAAAAAATTGAAGGATTGTATTTGAACAATCTTATTACAAAAAATCTTATGGCCAACATTGATCAATATCTGACACGGGTACATTTTGTGAGACCAAAACTCAAATGTTAAAAGTCTTGTAAATGTGATGAATAGAGGTATTTTCAGGTGTTAAAAGTATTGTATATGTCATCTGCTGTTTTTGAGAGAAAGTTTATTTAGAAAATACAGCACAGTTTTGATTAAATAACAAACCATGGCAAAGTTAGCAACTGCTTCACAACATCAACAAGCAGCAAAATTTCTTTTATTGTCACAAGAAAAATAATATGCTAGACTCAGGAAAATTATTAGGCAGGTGCCAATCAATAGTTACAGAACATTTTGTAACAGATACATATTCAGCATACTTCTAGTTCATAAAATAAAATGGATGTCATTTTTATTTTCAGAGTGTCGACCATGTACAGATGAAGAATTGTTAAATGCGTATTGCTCAAGTGAATATGGTAAGTTGACTGTTTTTGTTGTTTGAAGTGTTGCTGTAACTGCTCTTTTATACATACACTTAATACCTGTTTCCACTAGAAATGAACTGGCCTGATTTAGTGCAGTCATTTTAACAGCACAAGACCGCATCATTTTGTATTTGATCAAATTAGTCTTCCTACTAAATTATTGCTTACTAAGTTAAACTAACACATCCTTTCTGGAAACATGCCTCAAGTTTAACTGCTTGGCAATGTTATTTGCAATTCTTGGGGCCAGTTTTAGCAGTCAATTGCACACACATTAAACATACTTTCATAAATTGATCAAATTATTGCTTTCTTTATCTCATGCACCAATCTATGTTATGATGTAGGATATTATTTTAGAAGTACAAACTGCCCATAATAAACTCAAACTGAAAAATATGCACCAATACCTTCTATGATCTTGGCTTTATTTTGAAAAAATGATACACAATAGTGACGAAACTGTTGTTATTACTTTTCCATCTTTTGAGAAGATGTTACACTAAGTTTGTGCAGCCAGCTGCACACTTTAAACTGAGGCTCCTTTCAATTGTTTGCTTCAATGCGCAAAACCTTTTTTTCTCTTATATTTACTGGTCCTGGCTTGACATATAGCAGAACTAATGTCTGTATTTAGTTCAGAAAAGACCCATGAATGCCTGTTTAAGGTTCTTTAAATGCCTCTTGTCAATCTAAACTTTCAAATACTGAAGAATTACTTGCATTCAGGCCAAAAGCAAAGGAAATCAGGCATTTTTTTATTGCATTCTCTGTCTGGTAATTTAACCCTGATTACAAAAATACTCTGAAGTAACTTTATGAGGGAGGTACCTGGTTGTTACATTTTTGAACAATAACTTGACATGAAATATTCCAGGAATTATTAGTATAATGATAAATTCACATTGGAAGTTTTGTCAAAAATTCCTTTACATCATATTTGAGCCCCATTTTAGCTTAGCTATTGAGGTGAAATCTATCCACCACCTCACTTTACCCAGATGGTATTCTGTTTACAGCTGTTTATCTTAAAAGAAGCATCAATCTTTGAACTGGTAATCAAATTTGAAATTTTCTGGATAAAGAGTTTATGTGCAGCATGCAAAAAGTATTTTATTCATTAATTTGGCATTCTGCAGTGCTAAACATAGCAGGATCTGGGTGATTTGTTTCAGTTTGTGAATGTGTCATTCCAAGGTGCCTGGATATAAACTGATGGTGTAATCTTTTGGGGATAAGGAAACCCCCTTCTGTGGCAATGAATTGAGCAATTAATCCTCATAGCTGGTCAAATCCTTAAACTGTGAAGCTGCTAAGTGTATCAGTATTTGTTTATTGTTGGTGTTCCCTTGGTGTCCAAAGAAAAAAGATTGCCAGTAGATGAAAGATTGGGGTCCTATGCTCCTTCAACATATAAAATGATATTGACATTTATGTCAATTTGATATTTTTCTCACATATAAGTCAGAAAAAAGTTTCTGTCCTTTTGTGCCTGAATTTTTAACAAAGTAAATGTGATAATTTATGTAGGTTGATTTTGGCGGGAATTGGTCACCACAACATGTGGAACAAACAGAAACTTTGGCAAGTCATTTTAAAAGGAAATATGGACATATTTCAAACAACAATAAAACCAAATGAGAAAATTTCTTTACCATGTGTTTCACAAGTGTGACAAGAAATTATTTTTTTAGCAAGATGCCCAATTAACAGTCATCAGGCTGTCATTTTCTTCAGGATAACAGTAATCTTATAATCAACTACTATCAAAATTACTTGATTGGCAGATTTCCTGGTCATTCTTGGTAATTTAGGTGAAAATCCATCATAATTATGAAAACTAAACCAATCCTGCATGCACTTCCATGTAATTTAACAACTCTATAAATATGGCATTAGGGATGTGCTCCCTGGTCTTAAATAATGCATTGTTGTATGGTCATAGTTTGTTCCACTGCCAGCGGGGACTCCAGGCTGTCAGATTAAGCCTATTGTGCAGGTAAACCACAGGTGGTTGGATTTTACATGCAGCGTCTTGTAAATCTGGCACAGGGACATCATACTTTTCATAATAGTCTTGTTCTGCCTCATACTTTTGGGATTGTCACGGCATAATTCTGTTGATGTAAACTTGTTGGTGTCCTGTCTTATTTATGTGGTCCGGAAGATTATAAAAAAAAACCTTTAAAAGAACTTGAACAGTTGCCCTTGTAGTTACCACTTCACACTTAAGACCGGGGAGGTCAAATATAGCAGCACTTGATTTATTAAGAGAAGTCTTTTATGGTAGTTTTGAATTCATCTCAAAATTAAGCCACTTTATTGAAAACACATTCCATCCTCCATATCATAAGAGGGCTGATAAAAGGTGGACAGGTGAACCCCATGTCCCTGTCCAAATTCCTTTGATCACTTGCCACTCTTATTAAGTTACAAAAATCAAGAGATTATGTTGGCTCTGACACCAAGGAAAATTCATTAAGAAATTGAAGCTGACAGTCATGTTTAATTTAATCAAGCAGAGATACACAGCATTTCTCCTTGATGTACCTTATTAAAATAATGTTTCATTTGACTTTTATTATATTCTGCATGTTACTTTGGGGTGTTTTCATGCTAGGGGTTGTTTTGTATGCTCAGGGTTGACCATTCTGTAGTAGTTAACCTATTAGCCTTTTGCACTGTGTGCACCTCTTAATAAAAATAAATAGTCAATTGGACCATGTGTGCAGCTGATGGCCAGAGTATAAACACACAAACACTGGAATTTCAGGGGGCCTAGTCACTCTCTGCAGTTTGTCATGTGTCATATTAAAAAGCAGGTGCTGATTTTATTAGAAAAGCTCAATAAAAGTCTCAGCAATTAAATTGGAAAGAATGCTTGCTGTCAAGGAAGTGAATTGTTCCCTGTTACTGTGAAGCATATAGAAAAAAAGCAAAGGAATGACAAAAAAAAAAGAAAATGTAATTCAGTAGTAAAGTTGGTCATGTTTTTATAAACTAGTCTAAATCAGAGCCAGATGTTGTTGTGCCTTTTGTCCTGCCAGACTTAGGCACGCTTATAAGTTCAGAACCACCCATGTCTCACCTTTTACAACTGACTTTGCTGGTGGACTTTTTTTTTTTAACATAAAATGCCCAGAAAACAACACCAACAAGGATTGGAATAGAAAATAAGAAACTAAGCCTGTAACTACTTCTTAACTGAAAGTCATGTTTATGTTTCTGAAAATTATTGATTAGTTTGCTATGAAAGAATCTTAAACTTAAATTTTTTTTATTTTTTCCAGTTGTGATAGGTGCTATGGAGAAGGTTGAAAATAATCAAGAACTGGAAGAAACAACCATGCATCTTCAACTTGCCAGTGTAGTTCGACAGAAAATCACAAGGTTTAAGCGCCAATCCTTTCATGGGGACATAAAATATACAGGCTCTGTGGTAGCGCCTTTAAAATGTGGCATCCGCCATGGAGAAGGAGACTTTCTGTTCACAGGAAGAATGCGTTTAGGAAAGTTGCGGTTGCAGTGTGCACCTTTACTAAAAGACTGGGAAAGGTTAAAACACCAAGCAATAAAACAAGGAATATATCCTTGTCGACTTGACTGACAAAGACGGAACAAGCATCCCACTGTCCCAACAAAAAGGGGTGCTGTCTGCAAGAGAAGAGATTATGAAGTTTTCCAAAAGGACAATAAGTGCCCCCCGGTTTTACGATAAACCGACTGCTGACTGTGCTGAAGTAGAATATGAGAAAATTGATATATTGAAACACAATGGGAAAATTTATCAGTCCCCTTTCATGTGACCCAGTTGGACATACTAAATGATCATCAAGGGGGAATTCAATATCACCACCCAGTGTTGGGTAAAAGCTAAAATATTGTCACCATACGTCTTCAGGGAGGTGACAAAAAAAGACCAAATTGTTCCTTGCTGTCAAGACCAGACAAAAAGAATGCCGAAGAAAAAATGAAATTCCATCAGCTTATAAGAGGATTCGGCTCTAATGAGAAAATGGACCTTAAAAAGTTGAAGAGGCCATAGAAGAGCTCATTGGGAGATCCAGACGCCCATATTGTCCTTTTGAACAAATAGTCCTTAAGAGAACAAAAGGCTGTTGTGAGCAACTGGCCAAGACTCCTCATCTTCAAGATTTTTGTTGACGGGATATTGCAACCGAATCCCGCCAACATATTCAGTAAATGGGAGATCAAGCTGGTGGCCAATAAGTTATCAACACCACACAAAAGATCGGACTATTTTGAAATAAGAAATTTGTCTTTTAATGACATTTGAGATCAAATATCCACTCTAAAAATTGTCAAGTAAAAAGGTGCCAAAATTGAGACTGATTGAAAATCCACTCCAACATTCAAGTTGTTGACCTTGGTTGTGAGTTATAGACTTCTCCTCTGAAGATAAGAGGCATTTTACTGCATACTGGCAGGATAATTGTGCTGTATAGACTTCTCAATGATGGGAACAAAGCATTTTCCAATACATTTGTATGAATCAGAATTTTTATCTGCATTTATTAGCTTGTAGGGCCCCTGTAACAAGGGACCCAGCACTGAGGCTCTCCAATCAGCTTGTCATACTCAAACTGCCTTATTTATTACAAGTGGTCTGTGGTTTTGAATTAGTGTGCCCATTTCATATTTGACTGCAGCAATTCCAGACAAATATGACATATGAAATGTCATAGTCACCTTTCTTTGGGGATGTTGTGATTGATGTGTCTTTGAATATGTGTGCTTAGTTACCACTTGTGTGAGTAGTAATATGGATCGGCAGTAATTTGGGATTGATTGTGACCAGTGTTTGAGTTCTGACTGTCACTTGAAATAACCCACCATTTCTTATTTGATAAATTTTGTGATTCATCCCTAAGGTGACCGTTTAGAGTATGACACAAATTTGATTAGTCTTATTGCATTGGTGCTATTTGCCTTGTAAATAATGTTGTATAAAATGCAAAATGTTGTAAATTGTACATAATCTGTAAAATATGTAAGAGGATGTGTGAAAGCCCAACTGCTCTGAGTAGTGGGAAAATATTGATACTAGTTATGGTAGGATTTGTCATGAAAATGATACATTCCGTTGAGAAGATTTATAGAAGCTCCATACTTCTCAAAAGATTCACTTTGAATAATTCCATCACATTTTCATTACTTCAAATAGAAAGCAAGCTTTTCCCATGTAAACTTACGAGCACAAATTATGGCTACTACCTAAGTAATAATGAGAAATTATAAGTGCGTCTTTTTTTCCTTGTCTTTTTAAGTTAAACCATGACCCAGTAATGCTGGGTTTGAGACAGGTTGTTTTAGAATTTTTAAAGAATAAGCTCTATGTTATGCACCTATCAAAATTGAGATATGTGTCAACTTGTCATGACATTTGTGGTACTAATAGCTTGATTATGCAGCATTTGTGTGTCTGGGTTACTTGTGACTGCAATTTGTCACTGAAATGACTTTTGAACTTCGCTCAGTTTTATTCCACAGCAGAATTGAAAATGCTCTTAGTAAGCTTTTTTTTTTTTTTTTTTTTCGTTGCACCATTATTGATAGCATAATTCAGTTGTCAAATTTACATTGCATTTAGAAAGCACTCCCTGCCAAAATAGGCTAGTTGCATTTAAATGTTTGAGTGATCTGCTGCCAGCGGTCCTTAGTTTCCTTTTCATCTCTTTTTAAATCTTTGTTGTATGTTGTATCTCATCAATATAGTTGACATTTTATTGCATTTAGAACATTTCTATTGCATTAGAATTTATTCACTGCCAAAGTGGAATTCTGTTGAAGTATATGGAGTTTAAGCACTTTTGCATTTAACTTAGTAGTTCCCTGATAATTTTTAAGTACAAATTATTTTGCATTTAAATTAATAGATACAGTACCAAAAAGGGGTACTTTATAAATGTTTTACCACTGCATGTCATCAAATTTTACCCTTCTTAAGAGTCATTTTGACAACTAAAAACATTCTCTTTAGTCTTGTGCATCAAAGTGAGTCTTGTGAATATTTTGTTAATGTTATTTTGTCTTAAATTTTAATAAGTTTAGTGCTCCTTATAATACAAAGGCTCTTTCCCAGTCCTCATTCAATGAAGTTTGTCCCAAATAAGTTACTTTATTTTTTTGGCGAAAGATTCCCAATTATGTTTTTGACTGTACATGGAAAAAGAATTTACAACACAATAAGTCATTATATAAATTGGCAACATTCATTGTATATAATCTTATTTTTGTATAAAGATCACTTAAGTGAATGGTGAAATCCACAAAATGTTATACAGAATTAATGATAATAAAAATATTTAAATTTTGAAAAAGTGTCCATATTGATTTTGTAACCATTTTTTTTATATATATATTAATCTTTCAACAATCTGTCTGCCTTGCAAAGTCATCATTTTTTTTTCTACATTACCACATTCTTGTGTCATGTCAAGTAGATTAACACCTTCAAGCATGCAATAAATTTTGAATTACTACTGCATGGAATCATAATGCATTCATCAACATAAAAAACATTGCATAATCTCGTGCGAGGTGTAATTAATAAAATGGCTATAAAAACATGCCACTATTTTCAGACACACAGCGTAACGCCACTTAATTATACATATCATATATCTTTCATGTCTCATCCTATTCAGTGGCATAATTCCAATTTTCGAGACCTGATACCAGCAGCACGGATCACAAACTTTGCCCAGAGCCAAGAGTTTCTCAACTCCTTATTGTGCTGTGACACTTCCCCGACAGCATGACTACAAATGACACCACCTACCTGGATCAGAATTTCTGCTTGCTTTCTTTCAGTCTTGAATGAAAACCCCTATAGCAATTTTCAGTGGAAGGTCTAGCACTAGCTCGGGTCACAAGTTTAGATGACTTTTTTCTGTATTGAATAAAAATTCCCAAAGGCAAATTTAGTTGCATGTCTGGATTTCTGCCTGTAAAATGTTTAGTTAGAATTTTTCTTTTTCAAATATTTCATTTATGAATAAATATTATTATGGACAAAAGGNTTTTTTTCTTTTTCAAATATTTCATTTCTGAATAAATATTATTTTGGACAAAAGGAATATTTGAAAAATTTTAAAGACATGTTTTTGCAAGCTATAATTTTTTTTAATATACACAAAACCATACAGATTGAACCAGTTCATTTGAGATCAAATTTCCCATGATTTGCAACGTTATTCGAGGTGATTTTATCAAATGGCATCACTTAATTGCCAAGTTGCACAGCTAATAAAGCCATAGCATGTAAAAACTAAGAGCGCAAAAGAAAAAAGATTTCTGGTAGTCACCAAGGTTGATCTTGTGGCATCCTTCTGTGAACAATGCACCACACAACAATGAAACTGCCTCGAGAGTCCAACGAACAACAACACAAAAAAGCCTGCATACTTTCTAAGTACACCTGTAACTGGCAGTAATCACCCACGCTGACAAATGCTGCGGGACAAAATTCTTTGCGAATGCACTGGATGGTTTCTGATTTGAAAAAAAAATAATAACTTTTTTCATCCTCATTTTAAACATGCACAGAAGATGTTAGGAATAGCGAAAAATGGCTTACAGGGACCAGTTTTACATTGAAAAAAAAATGGGAAAAAAGACTATTAAAGCTCTATAGCACATTTATTTGGTCACTTTTCAAGTACATTTAATAATGCCTTTCACAGTAATACTAAAGTGATCTGAAAAACATTTTCAGACATTCTGCTCTTCATTAGTGTAAAAGTAGAAACATAACTGACTAAAAACTTAAGAATAAATCATACAAAATATTGCACAACACGTTAAACGAAATAAATCAATTATGATGCAAAGTTTGTCACAGCCACTGCTTAAATAAACAAAAATTACTGACTGGAAACTGAAAGGCAGATAACAAGACAGCTGTAAGTGATGCGTTCACTGAACCATTGACTACAGTACCAACCATAGCCTACATTAATCAAACTTTCTCCCACATTAATTTGAAAAATAATTCCACCGCCTCAAATAACTAACATGAATGGAAGGACTTCTGCACCCTGCAACAAATCCTATAATTTGTATGGCATGCTGAGAGATGAATATCATATACCTCCCCCACGAGAGATCGGATGAAATCAAGGCAGAAAAGGCTGGATTCTGATGGTAAATACCAAAATCTAGGTGGTAGGAAGCCTGTTCCAGATTGACAACCCCTTCATTGAAGACTGTGAGAAAGAAATCAGTGCTGTCATCAAGTGATTATTTCATTTGCATCTACATATGCAAAGTATGGGACTTATTTTGACAGAGCACAAACTGGCATTTCCTGGTATTGTTGGGATGGGAACGAATTTAGCAGTAAATGTAAATATGTTGACTGACCTTCTCATTCAGACAAAGCTGCAATATTTTAGGCGGGGAAATTCAGGAAATATATGGGGCAAGTGCTAGAGTTTCATAAATAACATGCTGAACAGAAAAATAACTTAAATATTGGGTTCACCTCTGAAACCTTACTGAAACTTTGATGAGAACATTTAGTTAAATTGGAAACATGTCTAGTAAACTGGTACTGTATAGCAGGAGTTTTAACATACACATGCAGTGTATCTTTAATAAATACCATCATAATTACCAATACTAGTACTCAATAAAATAGAAAAATTAAGGATGAAAGCAAGAAGACATATGAAACCTTAAGATACATAACAGCAAATGAAGTTAAAGTATAAATGTTTGTGCACACAAATGTTGCAAAAATCTCTTATCAGATATACAAAAGAACATCTCTAATTAGTTTCTTTCATCAAATTACCCCGCATTCAATATATCACAATAAAATGAGAGTTTTTTTGCCAAAGCTCAAGTCAAGCATGCATGGCAAATAGACTAGTCCTATGATACAATACAACTATCTTTAATGCAACATAGTATCTGTTTGCTGTTAAGGAGCAAAATCCCTTGTATATGTATTGTCAATTTTATGTGTGAACCATTTAATGCAATGAATTCCAAAAAATCTCTTTTCTAGCCATGCTACCATACCACATTTAAGTTCCTCAAATATTGCACTTACTTCTTGTAATTAACCTTACTTTTGTAGTCCATACTAAAATTACTCTAAAACTGTTATGCTCTTGACAATAGATAATCTTCTTGTGCAATGTACTGGTACAACCTTTATGACATTTACATCCTTTTAAACATCACTTTCATTGTCAAAAATAAGAGACACAAACTCTATGTTCCTAAATGAATACCATGCTTTAATACTACTCAGATATTATAAAGAGATTAAAACTACTCAGTAAGATATTATAGAAGAAGAGATTTGTTTCAGACTGAGAGAAAGATGTACCCTACAAAAAGATCTGATCTTCTGATTTCAAGAATTTCACAGCACCAATTTGGTCATTTATTTAGAAAAGGTTTTCCAACAACAGAGAAACTGATGCAGTGACACCACTGAGACCAAAGTGGGTCTTAAACGGGCAATCTTCAATGTCCAGGACTCAATAAAACATTTGATAAATTACTGGTCAGCAATCTCTGCTGATGTGATTTATTTTAAAAGAGAAAAAAACTATGAGAACCTCAGACCTCTGTGGGAAGTCCCTAATTCAGTGTGCCAACATAATACCCACTTCTGTTATATCAAGTGGGCTTTTAATGAAGTCTGGGGAGAACTTAGTAATCTCATACCTTAATGTGTAAATATTTACCAAATGTCACAGTCATAAGCTGGTTCTGTACGATTTACCCGAGTTATACAAGTTATGTTCATGTTGAGAATAGCTGCTACATTACTTCATCATCAGTATTCACCTATACTTGTGCCAGGGGCAGATCCAAAGATATTTTCTGATAGTCAGAGTTCCAAATTATCTTTGTTGATCCATCCTCCATTTTTGAAGGTCTTCCGACACAAAAAATTAGATGCCCGTCAACGTAAACTTGAAAAATTATTACCATCTTCCGGTAGACCCAAAAGAAGGCCTCTATCCACCCCTGTGTGTTACAAAAAAAAAAAAAAGGTACAGAAACCCTTGGGCTGCATTTCTAGGCAAGCTGTGGTGGTTTAACTAAAAAAAAAACATGTTATTACAATCTCTAACCATATGAATCCAATCTAATCCCTCTGTTGTCACACCAACTACTGTTCTAATTCAGTCACGTTGTGCGCAACCAGATTGATTTCTTTGATATATAGTATGTAATTATCATTACGCAGTCTGATTAGATGCAACATACCAAAAGAATTACCAAAACGTCACTGGAAATGCACTTTTAAAGTTGCATATCAACACATTATAAGGGAACCTGACTTGATACAGCTGCCAACTTCACTTACACCATCTATATACCTTTTCTTTCTTGCACAGCATAAGGGTTCTAATCAGGCAATTTCTGTCAAATGACATTAAAATAGAGGTATTTCTGATGTGAAATGTTTCTTGCTCTTGTACATGTCCTTCTTAGAGCAATGTACTTGAGAAAAGGGTCTGAAGTAGATGTAAACAGCAACAATATGCTGAGGTGGCAATGTATCCAATATAGAAGAAAAGGATAAGTGAAAAGCACTCTGTTGCATTTTGTTAAATTGTGCTTCACTTACGAGCATTGTAGTCAATGCTCTTTTTCCATTTACACATGTATCTACAAGTGTTCAGCTCATTTTGTCCTTTGTGAGAAGTGTTTCAACTCTCTAATCCCTGCCACAAGGTTTGATTGTGCACTCCAAGCTTGTAATACTGTTTATGGCATGTCCACTTCTGTGACCCACTATATGTGTGAGAAACCCACTCAGAAAAATAATGTGAGGTGGTGTTCATAGATGATTTTGAGATGTGTTGGCGCAGTGCAATGTCACTGATGTTGTTTAAACAAGTTCACTAACAGTATCAAAACATGGAATTCTATTATATATAATTTATAAAGAATGATGAGAAGATTTTAAAAACACTGACTTTAAGAATAAACACTTAAAAATAACTTGTAATAAAAATATAAACTAAATAACTTAAATATTAATAAACATAAATAATTCTTATCACTCGTATTTCCCAAAATATGAAGTGAAACCACTCAATTTGTATTCAGCTGGCCTTGCCTTACAGTTAAAATTAACGTCAAGAAAGGGGAAAGGAGCACTTGCATTAAAATCAAATGAATAAATATTAACATAAAACCATATGTAGAGTTGGGCCTGGTCATGTACTTATTCACTTGCCTGCTTTTTTTGTAACATTTAAACACATTTGCTTATGGACTCATAACATTTGGTTTGTAGTGCTGAAAACTATATTTCAGCAGGACATACTTCATTAAAACAATTACAGGTGTAGCAATAAACATACGTGCCTAACTGTGGCTGTTGAGAACATCAAAACTATGTTATGTGGACATATCTTCCGAGAATTGTCCTTAATGTCAACATGTTTTAAACTTGTGAAAATAGTTGTCAAAATATTTAATCTTTTTACCAGAATCTGTTAATATTTTGAGCAGTTCATTTATTCTTAAACAAATGTATCATTAAAAGTTGGGAAAATTGTGAAATACATTTAATATTTTTCACACATTAATAATATATTATTATGCTGACTAGTCTCAGATACTACATTGTACGATAACCACCATAATCAAGTTGGGAATCAAATATTCAGACATTTCTCGATACTACTAATTGGTCTTGTTATTACACCCCAAGTTTTAGGGTTTACACAGGGAAGAGACTGCCATCTACTGAAAAAATTGGGAAATACGGCACGGGGTCTACGTAGGCCAATAATATTTTTGACTCCCCAAAATCAAAAATCTGCCAATAGCTGGAAAAATCTCATCCCTGTTTACAGTAAACTAATAATACCAGCATACCTATGCAACAGGGTGACATGCCCTATGAATCATCATCATGTTCTGGAAAAAACGATGAAATATTCAACCACTTTGCTGACTAGTAAAAAAAACCTAGATAACCATCATACCATCATGAAGTGAAGCATGTTGAAATATTCGGCCATTTACCAATATTATGCTGACTAGTCTCCATGACAAGATAACCACCCATATAGTTACAGTGCCTTCTGTTGTGAAGCTAGTGATGCCAGCATGCGGGCATGATTATGGTACACAATGGTGATTTCAGCGGGTCTTTGTTCCCAGGGCTCTCCATCAACTTGCATCGGGGCCTTGCCACCAAAGAGTATGATCTAAAACAAATTGGTAAAAAGAGTTTGCATGTTAAATAGCTGGTTTTCCTCTTACCAAATGAATGGTTTACCACCCATGCTCAAGTTATGTATGATTTTATTTTTCTGTACATTAGCTGCACAAACATGTACCATACTAAGGTTCTCTATATATATATTCAAATCCATTTATTCAGATACTGTCCTACCAAATAATTACAGAAAAAATTAGTGCCGCAGAGAGATTTCAGTTACCTTAGCCATTTGGAAAGATGGAAACTAAACAGATGATTAACAACAGGAAATATGAAAGATCATTAGTACAAATAATGTGCTTTATGAAATACTTTATTACCAGATACAAAACAGCCATAGCCATACCTTGACTTTACTTGCCTGTCCCAGCCGTAGTGGCTCAGCCAAGCCAACCTGCATCTGGGCTATGTGGAAGGAAGAGTAAATCCCCATCACTTCTAAAGCTCCATCATTATACCTGGAGCAAAGGAGACATTGTCAATATTAAATACTTACAACTAGAGACTGAAAGACATTCAGACACCTTGCAACAAAATGTTGGTAAAAAAGACAAAAAATTCTAATTATGAAAAATAATCAACTTCTGTAGATTAGTGATTTTACACATGGACAAAATGTTATTTTATCTATGTATTACAATAAATTATAAGTATTATCTCTCTCTCTCTCTCTCTCTCTCTCTCTCTCTCTCTCTTCTCTCTCTCTCACTACTACCTTTACCTTGATTTTGGAATGTCTTTTCCCATGCCCCATGGCTGACAGCCACCACCCCAGCTGCCAATGTTAAGAACCACAACCCCCTCAAGATCAGGCAGGCTTATCAGCTTGTCATCCATTTCCAACTAAAAAAAAAGAGAGTACAGTTATTTTATCCAAATTTGATAAAGGATATATATGTGAAGAATATTTTCATTTCAATATCCTGTCATGAGTTTCCTAAGGGAGGATCTAAATTTCACTCATATTTAGTTGATGTTGAAAATTTGTGACTGCATCTTTCTTCACCTTTGAAAATATCCAAAAATCTTCATAAGCTTTTGGTGCATTTTCATATTATTCTAAAAAGCCCTCGTAACATATTTATGAAAATATTGGTGTAACACGTACATTTAAACAAATGTAAAGACTCCAATACATGGGCTGATGATGTAATCAAGTAAAAATGTTTTGCAAAATCAATCAAAAATGCCAATCCAACCACCTACAGTCATTCTCAATTCTAATTTTGGTGCATGTTTTTTATTGGAACCATTTAAGAAATAAGTGACTTAAAGAGCTGGCACTCGTGCACAATAAATTAACACAAGGTGATGCCTTATACCAAACAGGTTTTCAAAACAGGTGAATTCCTTCACAGAGTAATGCTAATAAAACTTTCAACAACTTTACCTTTGAGCTAGAGCACTGGTGTTCGGTAGGGAATTTCTTATTTGAGAAGTTTTGATAACGCCATTCTTGGGATATTTGCAGCTAATATCCAAGGAGCACGAGTTGAAAAACATACCCCAACATATGGAGGGCAAATACATAATAGAATAAAGATCTGCCCTAACTTATTACATTTAATGAAGGGAACTAAAGGGATTTTAAGCTACTTACCGTACCAAAAACGACATGCTAGATTTCAATTTTGAAAAAAATCTGTACTGACATATGGATAGCAAATACTGGCATATAAGTTACATGCCTTACATCTAAGGTTAGTTAAAAGGATTTGGGGAGAATCAAACCAACATCAATACTCATATCTCTAATTCTTGTTTTAGAACAAAGGATATACACTGTAATGTAAAACTAATAATCCATGATAGTGAAATAAGTTCAATTTTAAACAAAAACATATCTGGAAAACAAGATGTACATGTATATTTACATCATTTTGTTTTCCAGATACTTTTGCACACAAAATATGCACAATCTTTCCTTTTACATTTGCAGTAAAACACTTCTGAGATAAGGCCAAGTAATAAGGCAAGGCAAGCATGGGGTGTGCCATTACATGAGATGATATATGATTCTTGGTATGGTGAGCAGTGAGCAGGCAGGCAACAAATGACTATCCTGAATTATCCTGTATATCATAACATGGTGTGAAACAAAAAAATTAGAGTCAAATCTAATTTTCAAATTGAAGTCAAATGCATAACTAAGAAAACTACTTTTAATAGGACAATTGCGAGTCTATATACACTAGCTTAATAAACTGACTTCTTCTGGTCAACCTACCAAATTTATTTCTTTTACAAATACCTGTTACTCACAACAAAGAAATATCCCAATATCTCAACAAATGTATATCAAATTCTCTTCTTAAACTCTTTGACCGAGTTTCCAATCAAAATAATAAATCATATATTCAGAAAAATTCACACCAATCCTGTGCATATACAATGGATGATAATCACCTGTTGTTCCCATCTTTTCCCCTCCCCCCCAAAGACTTTTCCATCCAGTGTATACTCTTAAGTAAATTGATGGCTATAATATGTGACAATAGAGAAGTATAGGTGCTGCCAGTCGCCACTGCTGTAGTGTCAAGGCAGTTTGAGTTATCTGATGTGACATGGGAGGAGGACACAGCTACGTGCTGTGTACAGGAGGCACTCACCACTATCTTCTGATGGAGGTCCTTGCATTCTCTTTCCAGAACATCTTTTGTCCCATATGTGAAGTACCAAAACTGAAAGATTAGACACTTCATATTGTATTGTACAATTTATATTATATTGTATTGTACTGTACTGTACTGTACTGTACTGTACTGTACTGTACTGTACTGTACTGTACTGTACTGTACTGTACTGTACTATACTATACTATATTATATTATATTATATTATATTATATTATATGACAGTGCATTGGAGACACTTAACAAGAAACCATGGATTTTGCAAATCTCATTTGTAAATCTTGTTTACAAAAGTCCCTACATGCCGCAGCCTAAAAAGCCTTTAAAAAACCTTTAAAGAAACAAATGTAAACCACTCTAAGGAGGAAAATCATTTCCAACCACTCATTCAGGAAATGCCAATAAAAGCTAACAAGAACAAGGTTCCTATCTTTATATATAGCACTCTGAAAATGAGCATCAATGAAATTAATTTCTTTCTCTCTGGTCTGAGGTAATGTAAAATCTAACCCAGTCACTAATCTTAGCCAAAGCACACATATGCTTTTTTATCTGGTGTTTCAAATGAGATTCTTTTTCATAATACTTTGTTCTAAATTTAAAACAAAAAAACATCCATTCCCAAAGATTCTTTTTAATGAATTGTCAGTGCTAATTATTATAAACCACACTTAATAGCAAGTATTTCTTAAACTTGAGCAAGATTTGAAATGTTGTAGTTGAGTCAGACATACATGTTACACTACTACTCAAGATTTGACTAAGCAGGAAAAGAAAAGGCAATAACACACTCACATAAAACAGCTGTTACAACTTCCCAACCAAAATTTAATTACTACTTTTAAACTTTGGCAATACAGAATTCAGCAAAATCACTTTTGATGTTGTGATTAAGATGAGCTATGCAAAAGTAGAAAATTAATGAATTTTGTACAGCAACAATATGAAAACTGTTTCACAATTAGTCCTGCACAAGAGGATAAAAATATCTATTAAGTATTTATTTCATGATGAATATTTAAGATAAAAAAAGAATCCTTTATATGTGTATCAGACATTCTTCTACTAAAAATGACAATAGCCTTTCTGAACATAATTTCTAATAACACCCCACATACACAGAATGTGAATAAGTGCCAAGAATGGTATGCAAGAACACTTTGCCATACCAGTAGATCTTTTAATTTCTTTTGGCTGAAAACCTCATTTCTGCTGCCACCATCTGAACCAAATATTCTGAAATAAAATCTCAAAAGAATATCTTTTTAAATCTAAAGGGCCACAGATGCATGTAATATGTGCCAAGCAATAACTGAAATATACTTTTGTGCACAATCTCGGGTGGCATCTTTTGCTTGTCTAACAGTATAAATTGTAAGAACAACACTGTATTTAGTCCACACAAAACAGGGCCTTAACAGTACTCTAATGGTGCCCACACATAGTTCACTTGTAAAAACAATGGCTTTACAATGACCTATGTCTATGCCTTATAGTTTTAATAGCTGCGCCTATAATTCTAACAGGTAAGCACCTATATGCATAGCTATAAAACATCAATGCTTTTCCATTAACTTGTCTCTAAAGAAAGAATGCATTCATTTAAAAGACATGAGGTCTTTCATCATTTGTCTGTTTTCTCTTGATTTCCATTCATCTTCAGCATTATTCTGAAACATAAGAGAGAGAAAGGGTGCACAATATAGTGCAGGAAGACCAAAATGAAACTCATTAAATCTCAGGATGAAAGTATTTTTGAACTAAAATGACTGCAAAAACACAACAGGAGGATTCTGAATGTTGTAAAAAAAACAGTACTCATACAAGATCTCAATGATATTCCTATTTGTTACGCAGACATTTTATTAAATTTGCTATTACAATGGCACCCTATGTGCCGAACAACCTCCTCTCATGTCTGAGATCTGTTCCACAAATTATTTCTAAACCAGTATATTACAGTCATAAGGAGACATGCACCCATTACTATTGCCCTAATACTCCTTATGCTGTTTAAATGACGCATTAATCTCTGCTTGGCAGGTAAGATAACATCAGACGCATGACATAAACTTGTATGCTTTATTGTTATGATATACCAAAAGTAATATGATATTTTCATTATATATTCCTTGATTTTCTAACAGTGATTAAGAGATCAAGATCTAGATTTCAATCTTTAAAAAAACTATCTGGCCCTCCCTAAACTAAGCTGAATAATGTTTGATGCCTAGATGTATGTTTTTTGCAAAATGGCAGTTGTCATATCATCAACAATACTGCAGGTACTTCATTTTCATACCACATCAAGCATCCTACCCAAGCTTTAAAAAACAGCAATTAAATATTGTAGTTCGCATTATTCTGGGTTCCAGTATTCTACAAAGAGAACATTACTTTAAGAAATTTACAAGAATAACCCACTGCACCCTTCTCAAATTATTTGTATAAGGGGGGGGGGGTCTTCAAGCAGCAGTTTTTGAGCAAGCTGACTGCAACAGGCAGAATTTTACCCTAATCTCCTTGGGTGTCATACTTTAAAGAAAATTGTTAGGTGCTGGTTATAAATTGCTACCTTTTCCCTGTAATGCATCAACTTAAAAGCCTTCTTAATGCACTGGCAGTGGTGATAATAACGAGATGTGGGGCCATGGACAGTAAGATGATTCCTAGTAAAAGAGAGAGTTATAAAAAGGAAAAAAAACTGTACCTCAAATCGAAAGATTTTTAAGAATCCACATCTCTATAAACATCTATTTTAAATTATCATTAACAGAAAACTTTGTTTACCAAATCAAAAAGCAACAGCATCATTACCAAAGGAAAAAAATTACCAGTCTTGATAAAATATGCTAGTAAAACAAATTTACAAACCAGACTCACAAAATGTAGCTCACGTACAGCATGCAGCCTTTGATGGATAAAGAAAAATGTATGTTATGTATTCATTATTTTTCTAACATCAGACCACGCACTGCAGCAGTTCAACTACAGGTGTGAAGAACAGTAACTCAGTAACTCCAGTATTTTTTATCAAAGGAGGGGGCTCTCTGAAAACTAATTAAATCTGATGTCTGTAGTTCACGCTATACCTTCAAATCTTTTTCATTTCAGAGCCATTTCAATATTTTTTGCTCTTTCTTACAAATATTTTCTGGTCATAGATAGTATACCCATATTTCCTCTGTAAAGTTGCTTTACGATAGGAAACAATGAACGGCAATGTTTTCAGCTATAATGTATAAAGGTGCATTTTTTTAAACAATCAACCGTATAATTTATGAAGACAGTCTGGTGCTAAGGTTGCACTGGTACAACAACATGTCTTTTATAGCAAGAAATAGCAATATTGCTGTCTTAAAATACCTAGTAATTCACCCTTATATCCAATAAACCACATACTTTGTGACACTATAGCTGTAATGACTGTAAGGGGACACCTTCTGCTTACTTTACGACTTTAAAATGATTATCTATGACAAGGGGGTAGGGTAGCCTAGTTAAGCTTGATGCTCAGACTGTCCCTCCTTTGGTGACAATAAGGCGTTGGACACCTTCTGGCGTCTCTGCTATCATAATTGTCAACTCAAGGTAATTCAATACACAAAGTCAACAGTGACATCAAGATGGCAACAAAGTCACAGCAAGAGTTGCTGAGAGAAGTGATGAGATTCAATCACCAAATTTTTTTCTCAATGGAGAAATTTCAGAACAAAGTTGATTTTAAGAATGTTACTGTATACAAATAGCCGGCAGTGATTGTTGAAACAGAATTACCCATTAAAGTTCCCTAAGGGCCTATTTTCTCGGTGGGTAGTGGATTAATTTCCATTAGTTATTTTTTTCTTAGATTGGTCCTCTTTGATGTTCTTGATGGTGATGGTCCTAGAATGTTACTAAGCAGTTCTTCACGAGGTGTTATCTTGAAATCTTTCTTCCATAGAGAATCCTATAAAACACTGCAACCTGGTGGGCTTGACTTTTATTACCTGTTTAAAAGGGAAAAAATCATGACCACTTAATTTGGTCAGGTGAACAGAATATTGTCACCACAGGGGGGATGGTTAATGTCCACTTTTTAATGGTCATCACCAGACTATTTCTGTTATTTATTATGTGATGAATTTTACATTAGACCACATGTTTGTTTCCTAAATATATCCCAAGTTTCCATTTTTCACAAAACAGATGAATAATGATAGCTCAATCCCAAATGTCTTTTTTGCTCAATTCTTTTTCTGCTTCATGGTGCATTACAAACTGTCGCAACCTTTAACAGTTTTTCATGAAAAACTCCATTACCAACCCGAATTTAATCCAGTTAAGTTATCCCATCATATAATGTCTTATTTATAAAATCCACTTAAATTATTCTATCCTGACATCTATGTCTATACCCTGCTGCTGTGTCAAAGCTTTAATTTCTTACTAGATAATCACAAAAATCTTTTAAGGGGCCTATCGATTTCTGCTTCAAAATGTCAGTGTGACTAAGTGAAAATTCAATCCTAAATTGATATTCTTATTTCTTCTTCAAAGTGGCCATTTGGTCATGGGGTGATTTCATGCTTGGACTGTACATAAACCATAGACACCTGAAGTCTGCCACCTTGCAGTGTCAGAAAACAATATTGGGGAAGTTCAGGCAAAACAGACATTATCATGACTCATTCCGCACTGGTGGGTTTAAGCTTTCTTTGATCAATTAAATTGGAATTCTTTCTACTTCTACTTTTGAAGTTCATATCTTATATTATGAAAAATAGATATAATAAAGGAAATTACATATGAAGGGGTATAAAGTCAATTAATTTTCTGTAAAAACTGAAGTTTTAGCAGTTTTAAGTTTAGAAGTTTTAAAATTCTTTAGTATTCTAGAGCAATAAATCTGAAAATTCTTTTAAAAAATACACCACATTCTACCAGTGGAAATTAAATGATATGATCTAGTTTTCCAGTTTATAACCATTCATATTAACAGAAAAGGGGGAATCTTTGAAGATACTTAAGATCGGAGGACCCACGCTGCAAGAAATCTGCAGGTCCTTCTAATTCTGTGCTGGTCTGAATTGAGTATTTTATTTTCATTAGCCTATGTTAGCATGTGATTCATCTTAGTTACAGTGGCCTACATTCATTTATGTGCATTTTTTTATTATTTGAAATTATGTGCATTTTCATCATTTGAAATTCTAAAAAAGAGAGAAACAGTACATGGACAGTACTTTGAGAGATATAATTAAAAAAATTTTCAGTTTGCACACGCACCAGGTTTACTTCAGTTTTACTTTCACTAATTATTTATATCAGAGAGCACAGTTCTCTAAAGAATAACTTAATTCAGGCCAAATCATTTGTTGTATCAACATTTCTCAGTACCATACCTATGACTGATTATTGCCACAATGATATAATCCCATACTAAACTGGTACTCTTTCAACATTGAAAACTTTTGAGTTAACTATTGCCATGCACCATTAATACAGAATACAGACTCAGCATGGAGATGTAAGAACTTTTAACAGAGGCTAACAGTAATATTATTCAAAACCCTTGGCACCTTGGTGTGAAATCTACTGAAACATTATAGAGGAGGGCAAAGTGTCTACAACATAGAGGGATTTGTTGAAACACCTGGGGTACAGGCCACTTTGGAAATTTCATGACAATGATGCTTATGTCCATGTCTTAAAGTATCAAAGCTCCTGAGGCAGAGCAATCAATTAACATTAATATGTGGATAGAGACAGAGTCCTGATAGCACCAGGATAGGGTTTGTTCACACTGGAAGAAAGACAGACCGAGATCTGAAGAATTCCATTTAATATCAGTATAAGATCATCAGCCAAGCATTAGGCCAACTGACCATTTGGTCATATGTTGTGCTTAGGTAGACAATCTGCTGTCTGGGCTGGTGACAGATTTAAAAAAATGAGTCATGTTATCAGAAACAGCCACATGCACTTTAGCTCACAAGGCTTCCACAAGATTTTGAACTCTTTTTCACCATTATTTGGGACCCAAACTGCAAAGAACTTAAGGTCATGTTTAAGTCGATACATGTCACAGTATGAGAAAATGGAGAAAATTTCGATAACTTTTTATCAAAATACATCACAGAACCTCAAAAGTATAAGAAAATCTATTGCCAGAGCCTTTCCAGTCCATGTGAGTGTGTGTGTGTGAACAGTCCAAACATTGCATGTCTCGCTGGTATGGACAAAACTGTTTTTGTTAGTGTACCTCTACCACCATTAAATGTCTATAAGGAGAACATAATTGCCTCTATCACAATAGTATACCAATGAATAACACTACTATTTGGTAAGGTAACTCCCTAACTTCCTGACTTCTGTTCATTAATAGTCTTGATGTTGAATGCAAAAACGACCATCAGGGCTTGTTCACAATACCATGTGAATACTCACTGAAGATAAATGGTTGTAAAATTGTACAAATATTAAGGAAAGCAAATATTTTAAGGCTGGTATATTTAACTTTATGTTGACTTCATTACTGACAGCCCATATACCCACACCATTTCATAAAAGTGAAATTTAGTGAATTGTATGTATCACTATTAAATTTCACAGGTATTGATGAAAAATAATGTTTACTGATCATTCACTAGTACATTGATGCCTGCAGCTATTCAGTAATATTAAGCCAAAGCAGACTTTTACAGTGTAAGTGTACTAATAAATAAGAACTAAACCTCATGCTAAAATAGATGTGTCCACAAGCACAGCAAGAAATCCATCTTATAAGTGATATTTGATATCTCAGGTGGTCTATTTCATATACACTCAATGGATTAACATGGCTTTAACTAACTAGCATACCTATACTAACAGAACAATATCCATTTCTCACTGTTACGGTATCATGTACATGTGTTAGAAGTGAAGATACACTGACCTCAAGAACTTCATTCTACAGAACAACCAATGAAATAGACCCAAAACTGTTAATATATATATATATATATATATATATATATATATATATATATATATATATATATATATATATAAACTGAAGGAACTATACATTTGAAAGTTATTTAGTGATATAGGTGCATATCCCCAAATGACTATGTATGGGACATAAAAGTTACTACATGGATCGTATATTATTTTAATTTTGGAAGGCTACAGTTACTTATTTTAAACAAAAGAAGTAATATCTAAATGGCTTTCCCCATAAATTTTATGAAGTTTCAACTGAAAAAAATGGAAGATAATTCAGATAAATCCCTTCTTTCAACAACTCCTATAAAATTATGACAGGACCTGCCATCTATTGGCATATTTGATAACTCTGATAAAGAAGACTACTGTAACAATAACTGTTGGAAAGTGATAAACAAAACTAACATGTGACAGTTTTTCATTCATATTTTTTTTCCTTTGTTTTTTTTTTCTTGTTGTCTTGGTCTGGTTTTTAAAAAAAAATTTTATATATTATAAGTGCTACCCAAACCTTCAGTATCAAGCATTCAAGCTACAAACTTTCATTATAAAAAGTGTTAATTTTATTAACCCTATTCCATACACAGCAATGCACGTGTGTGTGTGTGTGTGTGTGTGTGTGTATGTGTGTGTGTGCACATGCATGTGTGTGTGTGCGTGTGTGTGTGTGTATGCATGCATGCATGCGTGCATGTGAATGTGTGTGTATACAGAACTACCATACATACTGTATACTGTAGTTCTGTTGTTTATAAGTAGAAGTTGTTTATAAGTAGAAGTTAGATTTCTACTTATAAACAACCTCCTAGAATAAAAGCTGTCTGCACCTCATTTACTTTGCGTAAGTTAAAATCAAGCTTATGAAAACATTGGCACACAGCGTTTGCTGCAATCACAACTCAACATTGTGTTAGGTGTGATCACCACATCTCTCAAAACACAATCCAATCAGATTGTAACACATTTCTCATTAACCAAAAACAAAATGCTTTCTTTATTGTATGCTAATGAAAATTAATGATACCTGATAGATATCTATAAGAATTGGCCTTTAATACTGGACATTAAGTTTAATGACATTGAGTTTTATAATATATTTTCAGCACCACTGTCTATATTGAGCTTGTTCTAACTACCCTGAAAATTTTATTTTACAGTCAAATTGGATAAATACAGTTTAAAAGAACTAAAAACATTAAACTACTGCATAAAAGAACAATACCTTGTTAATAAATCTGCTTCCAAACAGACTGGGACGGCTTTCTCTGTGTTTGTGGAAGTTCAAGGCAACCAGGGCATCCACACCAATGGAAGCATAGTTATTCATGATCAGCACCTGTGAATTACAAATGATTATTCAAATACTACAGAGGGTTTTAGGGTATATAACAGACCAGCACACAAGCCCTTATATGTATCCTTCATATTTTCTATTTTCACCATCAATATAACTTTGAGTTCAGGCATGTGTGTACACACACATGGTCAGGTTTGGGCTGTAGGTAGAAATTCAAATGGCCATTATGTACCACTTACCTAGGGGCAGGCACATGTCCAAAATGAATCTAAATACAAAAGAATACTGACATACTGTTATACTGTCAAAAATTGAGATTTTTTTGAGTATTCTTACCTTGCTCCTGCTGGGAATGCCAAAACGCTTCTGGGAATTAATCTCCACCTTCCATCTAAAAGAGCAAAGACATAAACACTGTTATAAATATAAAATTAATCAAAAAATATGCAAATAAATAATTTGGAAATAAATTTATGAATTTACTTTATATCCTGATTAACTTCAGATGTCAATAACAAACATGTATTTCTAAACATTCTCAAATATACCTCAAACCTGAACATGTATCAAGTTTAGCATAGTTGACTTCAGTTCCAAAAACAGGTGCAAATTACAGTGAGTTCATAATTTTATATCCTTTTTACATTCACTATTCACATGAGAAAAAAATTAACTTAAATTATGAAAATCCACTCATTTAACCGACCTGTCCAGGTTGACAACTCTCGCTGTTTTGATCTGGTTCAGAATGTATGTGACGTCCACCTCCCTGGTGTATCCTGGGCCCCACCCTAGCACCCTGGACAGGTCATTGCCTGTCCCCAGGGGCAGGATACACACCTCTGGCAACTTCTGGAAACAAAAAGGTACAAGTTTGTAACATTACGTTAAAATTAAACAAATTTGAGCTTACTGAAGAAAAAGCCACTTCAGGGCATTTGAACACTATTCAAGTTCTGTAAAAAGTACATCCATTTTCTTTTGGTTGAAGGGTACCACAAATAGTATGTGGCATAATTATCTTGCAGGCAGATGAATGCTGCACCAGTGAAAATTGATGGACTCAAAATCAGACAAGTTCAAGCAGAAATTATACAAGTATGTGTGCAATGATTGTGACCGCAAAGACGTCTACTTTATATAGACAAAGACATCTGTAATTAGTAAGGAAAAACAGAAATGGAGCTACATATATGTGTCCAGTGTATGGGATAATGCATAATTAAACACAAGAGTTGTATTGGAAAATCAATTACCCTAAACTTGAGGTTGTCTATTGCACTGAGCACCCAGCCTACTGTACCATCTCCACCACACACCAGCACTCTACAGGTGACATCTGGGACAAGATGAGCCCACTCCAAACCATTCCCTGGTGGCATATCAGCCAGATCTATCACCTACATAATCAATAAATGGAAAGTTAATATCAAGTTTTAAAAAACATTCTTCAACGAAGCATTTCAGGTTGTCATAACTAAATATCGAGAGAAAAACACCTTTCACAATTGAGCGAAAAAAATGCTATATTAAAATTCAAGATTTAATTGTTTTTCCATAAGATGAATAAGTGTTCAAAAAGATAAACCATCTTCAAAACTAAATAAAGAGTATATAAATGTTTATCACATGAATAATAAAGTAACAAAAACCATGCATAACCTGTGCTGGGTTTAGTAGCCCTCTAAACACCTGCAGGATATGCTCTCCATCATAATTTCCACTCTTTCTATTCGCAATCACAACCAGTGGCCTCCAGTCTTCTGAGCTTGGATGGAGCACTTTCCCAACTTTCCAGTGCCGTCTGCCTTTAAAGCCAACCAGTTTGAGCTCCACTCTGTGCGGTGGGACTATGAAATCTTTGAATGCTCCCAAATCGCAAATTTGTATGTATCCAGCATTTTCATGCCTGCATTCCTCATGGATGGTTCTTTGGCACCAGCAGCAACGGAAATCACACAGCTCAGGACGAATTCCACACAGCTCACCACAAATGCAACACCTGCTACTAAGCGGGAGATTGCCATGTACCCAGTGATGTGTGACTTCAGACTTAGACGCAAGAGCTTTACAAGGTAGGTTCCCATTAGCTTCCTTCATATTGTGATCATTAACACATATTCCACAGGAGCCACAGAAAGCTCCATGCGATATATTTTCCCCACTGACAGCACAATATGTTGGCTTGTCAAAGGCATCAACCATGGACCAGCGGTGGCCTTTACTTATGTCTCTAGCTGGAACTTCATAGTGCCTCTTTCTACGACATCGGTAGATTTGACAGATTATTACTGTCAGTATGACTGCACCACTCACATATACAACTGCACCTATGAGAGGTGGCATTATGGGAAGCATAAGGAGTTGGTTTAAATACAACCCAAAGTTAGATCATTTTCTGAGTTTTATAACTTGCAATAGTTAAATAAATATACTGTATATAAAGACACATGTGGACTGTTACATGTATCCTGGACCATGTTTTTCTCAAAACTTTACTAATTCAACACAAGTGTTTCACACATCATCTTGAATTTGTCAGTATCACAAAATAAATAGGCCAAAGCCAGCAGATAAATTTAAATGAACTCGAACTTGGAAGTCAGCTGGGGATCACTGCAAAACGTATTAATATATCTGAATACACGAAATCAGTTTACACGTGAGTGACGTATATAGCTGTCAGTGATAATTCACACATCTTTAGGCTTAAATGCCTATTTCATTATAATATTAGAGCAAAAAGTTCAATCGTATCAGTGCTAATTATCATTTTTTTTATCACTAACGAGTAATGTCATTCATGGTTATTCTCAGTGATCACATGCATTGACGCCGATGCAATCAGTACAAATCGCTCGCAGTTGTGAAAAGGATTCCACTCCCACTTCATCCTTTCCCCTCTTAGAGCACCTGTAAAAGGAAGTGGCCAGAAGGCGTCTGCCAGGAGCGTTGTTCTGCACTTCCCGACGAACAACAACAAAACGAAATCATGAATGAAGCAGATGAGTTCTTCCAATCCCACCATAGATGGCGCTTTACAACACGAGATCTTCTGGTCCGTTCCTGTGCCACGATGACGATTGTTTTTTTAACGAAAGCAGACACAGGGCAGTCTAACTAAATGTCACGAATCTTTTTTAAATGGTAAAAAAAACATATTTTTACGTAAATTATTCTGGTCTTTAAGGCTGCTTGTATTTAAAGGACTCCTATTGAACAAGACGAATTCAAGTGTCCGAATTTTTCTTTCAAACACCTCATATTTTGTATTATATATTAGTACTTTGCTTCATGTAAAGGCGCAAGTCATTTTAGAACTAATCTCTCATTCCACTCACGGTAAATCGCCTATTTATATCGGTCCATCGCCCATTTGGTTGCGAATCGCTCTTTTCACGCAAAATAAATCCTCGTTGTTAGGTTTAACTAGAAAAGTAAATTTATGGTTGGTAGGCCTATATCAGTGAACGTTAAAACCAACAAACAGCTAACAAAAGTGTGTTTATTATATCTTGTTTATATGTATAAAATTGTAATCGTGCATTTGACGCTGTTTTGGAAGTTCGCGTCGTGCTTATCCTTTTTAATGATAAAAATTGCCAAGAAGAGTAAAAATATAAAATTTAGGCCTTCTCTTAACCAGAAATATATATCAGAATAATTCTTGTTAGTTTTAATGATTAAAATAAATTGTTTTAACCGACCAAGTTCGTTTGAACGGCCAACATGGGACTCTAGTACAAATTCACGTTTTTTTTTAAGACGGGATTGGTAGCGGTGTAAAAGTGTTAGGTGAATTTCACATGGATGGATTTTATAACCTGCAGCTGCATTCACTTGAAATATGACGATCGAAATATAAGTTTCCAAGAGGTGGCATCAAATGTCCCAACTGGCTGCCTTTGAGTGGATGTAAACGGTAATAAGTCATTTTGAAGTATCCATGATTTTATATTTAAACAAAAATCCTCTACTAAGAGTAAAAAGTGCCCAAAATGGGCCCTGTGAGGCTGTGACCTCAATGCTATCGACCCACTTTCGATCTTTCCTTTCGACCGCCTAGTACATGTATATTACTGCCTCTCTTAACACAGCCATAGCTGATTATGACGCGATATCATAGATGTGGTGTCAATCGAGTATGCGATAAAAATTCTTACATATCGAAAATATCCAAGTCCTCCATCCTAAACTTAGTGACTTTATTATTAATATATTAATTTGATTAATTTATTTAATGCTTAATTCGAATCGTTCCGTCAACACGCTGGATTTTAAAAAGTGCATTTTTTCGTGGGGTGGGGGAAATCAAAAATGATCTCCCCTCTAGGAAATCCTGGATCCGCCCCTATATATTAAAGGTGGGCCCACCCCTTCACAAACATCAAGGGGCGTTGGGTTCTTACATCTACAGCGGAATATTTATGTATGATAGTTCGTTCTAGGGGCTCTAATCCAACTTAGGATAGTCTAGTTATGCCCGGAGAAAAAGTTACGCAACACCGCATTTTATTTCAGAAACCAAAAATTAATTTTATTACCTGGACATTGCCTAGTTTTTTGGAAGAAATCTACGTGACAAAAATTGTCAAATATTCAATTAATTTTAAATGAGAAGGGGCAATTGAAAAGAAAATTTCGACTGATAATTAAACAAACCGCGTGCATAGGGATGCAACTCCATTAAAATTAATTTTCAAGTCTGGCGATTATTTTTCCATCTGTACACGCCTTCCATTTTTTTTTCTTTTTTTTTTATGAAAAGAACAATTATAGAATATAGTTTTATTCAACTATTATATGCAGTAACATTCAATTTCAAAAGTACTTCAGTACTCATTAATGAATCATGTAAACGCAATGTCACAATAAATTTTAGTACCCGATGCCCTCGGGCCGTGGGGAAAAACCCGTCTAAACCCTTCGTGGGGAATGCCGGCGGGAAAATGCCCACGCCCGGATACTTCAGTCTTTAAAACATAACTTCAGTATTTTTTTATTGGCACGGCTCCTTACAGTTCATAAATATGGTGCAACTGAATAAACTTTCTCGTGACTACAAACTATTCTCCATATACATTGTACTCTATACTGGTACACAAGATGAAGTACAAGAATTTACCAGAGTACATGCAATTCCTACTGAAAGAGGTACTGAAGACGAGACATTTACTAGTCTCAATTTTAACTGAGGCTTATTTTCTAAAAAGAGGATGAAGTCATAAATAAAGTAACTCGATCCTTGTACAACTGAAAGTATACATCAAAACTTGGATATACTTCTCTCTCATGATAAAATATATAAAATTTCAGGTAATATGTTTATTAGCCATACATCAATGATTGAAATAAACTTTGACATATGATTGATTAGAAGTTTCTCAAATGTAATGATTCAAGCAAAGAACAAAGCAAGCTTGCTTCGACATATTTCACATTACCTTGTATGACCGTCCATGCAAATTTCAATATGGATTTTGGGGTCCGAAGAAAAAAGGTGCATACATGATGAATTGGAAATATTTGTCAACTATAACACTTGAGAAAATCATAATATTAGTATATTAGTATTGTGCGATCCTCGATCTTGAGAGATGACTGTGTGCACCCAGCCATCCCTCACGAGGAGCAGACTGTGTACAAAAATATAATGAAATATTTTCTCAAACAAAACATTTCATTATAGATTTTGCACAAGCTATCAATGTAAAACCTCTTCATGTAAAAGCATTTACATCAAGTCGGATTTTACAAAGATGTTAGGGTTAGTTGAGGTAAGTGTGCGGACTATGATCTTCTCAAACGCTATACTGACGAACAACTCCACATCATCAAAAGCACAAATATGAAAAATGACTACATCACTAAGATTGAAATAAAACACAGACGACCATAAGTGGTGGTAATACCAATGCTTTGCGAGCGAAAACCTATCTGCATAAGAATGTGGATAAAGCAACTGGATATTCTGTTTTAAATTTTAATAATAACTGTTGAGGCAGTCTTAAAATTTTCACACAGAACCACAATTCATCTTATTCAATTGAACATTTATGGAATTATGACTGATCATACTGAACTTCAGTTTTCTCTTAAGCTATTGGAATAAAATGTTTCACTGTCATAAGTGAAGAAATTAAACTTACTAAATATAATTTCATATAACTTATATCTGTGACCCATGAAGCGCAAAAATTGTCAATATATAAAAAGACTCAAGTCCATTATTAGATTGTATTCCTCTTACATTCAGTAAATCGCTCTTCATTATCATTCCACATTCTCTAAATTTTTGCAGACAAGCTGTGTCCTTAAAAACCAAGACTGCTAGGACGCCCGATCATCAATGAAAGTGGCTACGGGAGCTTGTTGTTAGCACCATTAAGTGTTTCGCATCTTGGACATTTGGGCTAGGATTGATGGTATCTGCGTTCGGGCATTATATCTAGAAAAATGTCCTTTCGTAGCCTACAATTGAAATGCAAAATGTTCACACAAAAGTATGAAAGTAATTGAAAGCTTGGAGTAATTGCAACAAAGAACATGTATGTCACTGGTAATTACACGCCGTTAATTCTAGTATATTGATGTTTCATAATGCTTTGGTTCTTAACACGATTATTATTTATTTTATTTCTACAACACAACACAAGAAAACCACATTATGATTTAGTTAGAGCGCTAAGATTCTACAAAAAGAAAGTGACTAGAAAATAAGAGGGATAAAGGAAGGAATACACAGTATGAATCACGAAAACGCCTAATTATCTAAACAATATAAACAGATGAAAATACTCGCTCACCTGTACGATGGTCTCTTAGTTCCACAACCGTAGCACTGAAGGCGAGGTTGGGGGATAGTAGCTCCTAGCATTCTAGACCAGAGACAACGTAACGTGTGTCACATTGCAACTGATGAAGATCTGAAAGTTGGCCGATAGGATCTCAAAGTATTTTCCATGAGTGATTTTTTTTAAAAGTTTGTGACAAATTAAAAGAACTTTTGGATTCTAAAATGTCTGCTATATGAATTTCCTTGAGTAAATTATAAATGGAAAACAAATGTCTACATTTAGTGGCTAGACAACAGTTTCCAAACAGTACAATTTAAAACGATGTTGTCTTAGGTGTTGCACAAAATGCCCAGTTTGTTGAATTTGCATTGACAAAAGATGTGTAATATCTATAGAATAAATGACAATTAAGTTCATTGTTCACCCTCTACCCTGGCCCATAACTCACCTTGAAGGGTCCTAAATACGAAAGGTATCACAACTAGGCAAGGACTCTTGAAATTCCATATGCTGATATCGCTTTCTCCATTTTAACCTTATGAAAGTTGACCATCATCAGCCCAGGCGCTCACCAATGCTATTCTGCCTCAACTTCAAAACAGAAATTTAGAAGACCTTAGTTTCCCTATTTACCTCTTCTCCCTACCCAACCAACTAACCTTAATTCTTTTTATTCCAGAAGTAGATCAAGGACAAGATACACTGCCTTATGAAAGTGAGCTGTAAAATCAATGCGGCTATGGGTTTTATCTCAGGAATTTTGTAAGGTAAAAATGGCTGATGTGTATTATTCTCTGCAATAATATGACTAACTTTTTACGGCTTGGAAGATTTCCATTTTCAAGACATCATATGCTTCTGATGTTCCCCCATGCAGCCACCTGATAAACAGACCATGGCTGGAATCTTCTTACGAAAAATGGGAGCTCTATCTGGACTTGCCGTAATCGAATTCTGTAAATAGAAAGGAAAAACAACATAAGTTTTTCCCTGTACCTCCCTCTCCCAATGTACTAGCTTTGAAAAGTGGTTTATCCCAAAAGGGAGATTAATAGAAATCATTTTCATGGTAACAGTGGATCGTTTCATAACAGTGTATGGTTAACGGCTTTTCTACCAGAATTTTGAAATGAAAACCATATTAGTTGTCAAGCATCTTAGGGATTCATTTCGAGTGACAGGGGGCTACCCCATGAAAGTGTTTAGGGCCTTAGCAATGCTATCAACTTTTCTCACCTCAAAATATATATGAATTTTTAGCATAAATTGGTTTTTAAGAAAAATAATTAGATGCTTGTTTTCTATCAATCTGACTTTACTTCAACATTTTAAGGTACGAACAAAAGTGAACTATTGTCTAGTTTGTTTAATTTCCATAAATTGTGTATTTAAAGCGGTCTGCTGCATAATTAGTTAACTTAAAATAGTAATTAGTTTTATTGGAAGAACGAAATTGCAATCATTTGATATCAGGAATAACTGCTCCATTTTAATCCTTTTGGTCTAAAATTAAAGACTAACTTTAAAGGGTTTTCCATCTCAGTGAAACATATGCCTTGGACGCTTCCCCAATGCAGCCACCTCGTAGGCAGAACATGGCAGGACTCGCTGGACGCTTCCCCAAGGCAGCCACCTCGTAGACAGATTATGGCTGGACTCGCTGGATGCTTCCCCAATGCAGCCACCTCGTAGACAGGCTATGGTTGGATTCGCTGGCACCAAGGATTGATCGAAGTAGCTGAAGTGTAGATGTGGCCCTATTCTTCTTGCAGTTGCCAGTTGGAGCTCTATCGAGAATCGCCATAATTGAGTTCTGTTAAAAGAAAGAAAAACAGATTAATTACTTTTCCTACCTATGACAGCACTCTGCATTCGTGCTTACCTTCAAAGATGTTCCATCTCAGTGAAACACCACACGCCTTGGACGCTTCCCCAATGCAGCCACTTCGTAGACTGACCATGTCAGGACTCGCTGGACGCTTCCCAATGCAGACATCTCGTAGACAGACCATGACAGGACTGGCTGGACGCTTTCCCAATGCAGCCACCTCGTAGACAGACCATGGCAGGACTCGCTGGATGCTTCCCCAATGCAGACACCTCGTAGACAGGCTATGGCAGGACTCGCTGGCGCCAAGGATTGATGGATGTAGCCGAGGTGTAGATGTGGCCTTCTCCTTGCAGTTCTCAGTTGGAGCTCTATCGAGAATAGCCATAATCCAGTTCTGTTAAAAGAAAGAAAAACAGATTAATTACTTTTCCTACCTATGACAGCACTCTGCATTCGTGCTTACCTTCAAAGATGTTCCATCTCAGTGAAACACCACATGCCTTGGACGCTTCCCCCAGTGCAGACACCTCGAAGACAGACCATTGATAGGACATACTGGACGCTTCCCCAATGCAGCCACCTCGTAGACGGACCATGGCAGGACTCGCTGGACGCTTCCCCAATGCAGACACCTCGTAGACAGGCTATGGCAGGACTCGCTGGCACCAAGGATTGATCGATGCAGCTGAGGTGTAGATGTGGCCCTCTTCTCCTTGCAGTTGTCAGTTGGAGCTCTATCGAGAATCGCCATAATCGAGTTCTGTTAAAAGAAAGAAAGACAGATTAATTACTTTTCCTACCTATGACAGCACTCTGCATTCGTGCTTACCTTCAAAGATGTTCCATCTCAGTGAAACACCACACGCCTTGGACGCTTCCCCAATGCAGCCACTTCGTAGACTGACCATGACAGGACTGGCTGGATGCTTCCCCAATGCAGCCACCTCGTAGACAGACCATGACAGGACTCGCTGGATGCTTCCCCAATGCAGACACCTCGTAGACAGGCTATGGCAGGACTCGCTGGCGCCAAGGATTGATGGATGTAGCTGAGGTGTAGATGTGGCCCTCTTCTCCTTGCAGTTGTCAGTTGAAGCTCTATCGAGAATAGCCATAATCGAGTTCTGTTAAAAGAAAGAAAAACAGATTAATTACTTTTCCTACCTATGACAGCACTCTGCATTCGTGCTTACCTTCAAAGATGTTCCATCTCAGTGAAACACCACATGCCTTGGACGCTTCCCCCAGTGCAGACACCTCGAAGACAGACCACTGACAGGACTCACTGGACGCTTCCCCAATGCAGCCACCTCGTAGACAGACCATGGCAGGACTCGCTGGACGCTTCCCCAATGCAGACACCTCGTAGACAGGTTATGGCAGGACTCGCTGGCACCAAGGATTGATCGATATAGCTGAGGTGTAGATGTGGCCCTCTTCTCCTTGCAGTTGTCAGTTGGAGCTCTATCGAGAATCGCCATAATCGAGTTCTGTTAAAAGAAAGAAAGAAAGACAGATTAATTACTTTTCCTACCTATGACAGCACTCTGCATTCGTGCTTACCTTCAAAGATTTTCCATCTCAGTGAAACACCACATGCCTTGGACGCTTCCCCAATGCAGCCAACTCGTAGACCATTGATAGGACTCCTGGACGCTTCCCCAATGCAGCCACCTCGTAGACAGACCACGACCGGACTCGCTGGATGCTTCCCCAATGCAAGCACCTCGTAGACAGGCTATGGCAGGACTCGCTGGCACCAAGGATTGATCGAAGTAGCTTAAGTGTAGATGTGGCCCTCTTCTCCTTGCAGTCGTCAGTTGGAGCTCTATCGAGAATCGCCATAATCGAGTTCTGTTAAAAGAAAGAAAGACAGATTAATTACTTTTCCTACCTATGACAGCACTCTGCATTCGTGCTTACCTTCAAAGATTTTCCATCTCAGTGAAACACCGCATGCCATGGACGCTTCCCCAGTGCAGACACCTCGTAGACGGGCTGTGGCAGGGCTCGCTGGCACCAAAGATTGATCAATGCAGCTGAAGTGTAGACGTGGCCCTCTTCTCCTTGCAGTCGCAAGTGGGCGCTCTATCGAGAATCGCCGTAATCGAGTTCTGTTAAAAGAAAGAAAAACGGTTAATGACTTTTCTTACCTATGTATGTAATAATAAGAAACCTGCAATGCATGAAATATATGCAAAGACACTACAACAATATAGCCCACAACAGCAGAAAGCCGATGAAATATCCTGCGAAGATTCCTGAGCGACGATTCCTGAGCGACGTGGAGAGAAGCGAAGGTTTTAGCTGGCCAGCTTAGAGAAACGTCGAATCCACCGTCCTTGCGTGTGTAAGAAACAACATGAGCGATGCGCTGACATGGGACGAGGAAAAGATTCGGAGAAATGCGAGTTGACTCCTGTGTCCTTTTTGCTTGATACGGGGCGCAGTAGGCCTACGTGTCATCCTTCTTGCTGCTCCAGATCTGTCTGCGTTGAATGAACGAAATTTCAAAATTTTGCGCTTTTATACCTTCAGTGATATAAAGTCACATGGTGGCGTTCCTGGTCAACTTGTTCATGGGGGGGTGGCGTTTGATAGTCATGCCTATAACTGATTATAATACCTTTTTAACCTACACATATTATATTAAATACTTTTTATTTTGAATAATGTGTTTATCATTTTATTTGATAATTAGAGTAATAAGTACTAAGCAGTGACTTAGAAATGTACATGCAAATTTGTTGACATTTCCGAGCAACACCTTCTCCCCAAAATTATGATAGGCCCGATGTCCGTTAAACTGGTACAGGTAGTCGCGAACTTCTCGCAGGCCACTACAGAATGTGTGTATTCGAACACTGATCCAAAATGTGGATAATATAATAGGGCGTAGGGTGACTGCATTTTCGAGGCAGTCTGGGGGAGCATGATTGTTTTGATTGTAGTGAATTGTAGTGAGTACACTGGACTTAGCATATACAGCCACCTCAGTGCTCTAAAACATATTTTGTAATCAACTAAGTTGTTATTCTTTGAAATTTTGTGATTTTACGAAACGAAAGAAAGCAGCAGTAGGTCACATGAAATGTCTTGATTAACTTATACCAGGTAGCAGAAACAAATGAATATTTTTTGCATATAAAAGATCTACTGATATAGGTAATAATTAACAACGGACACCTCCATTAATGGCTTCGGGTTACCAGCACTCTGATGCCAGAAGCAAGAGTAGAGAGGGAAAAACGAATAAGACAGTGAGGTAAAAATTGAAATTAAACATTTCTCATTTACACGTTTACTTTATCCCCTTAAACCTTAGTTGAAAACTGCACTTTTTAAAACGCATTTTAACATTGTTATAAGTCTGAATCGTCACTGGCCTTCTTTCACATCTCCCTGGCGATCACCCAACCTAAGTTGTCGAACACTAGAGCTTACATGCTAATAGGTAAATTGCTCATTATCAATGTTTTCATGGTCAGGCACATGATAGCTCGATTTGTGTTTTTTAAGTGATTTGGTCGACACTGCATGAAAATCAAACTCTGGAATTGCTTCACCTGCCACGAGAACACTCACTGATTCTCAATTTATTGGTCCATTTAGCATTTAAACAAATTAAGAAGAATTAATGAGAGAAGATTTGTTTGTCCAAGTGGAATTTTACATACATCACTCTTACAACTTTTAAAAAATCACTGCAAAAAATTTACAACATTTTACTGTTGTTCGCAACGCCATCTCACACTTTAATCTAATGTACAAAATCAAGAAGCGAGTATGATGTCTCAGAAAATGCCTATGTTTATGTTTAGTTTAAATAACACAATAAAAAGATCGCCGCTACGTTCGCGGTGTCACCTGGGTTTTTAAAATTGAAAAAAAAATCGTGCGGTCTTTTGCTGCAAGTCATTATTTTTGGTTTTTTGTAATATTTCAGCCATTTAAAGAATCTTAAGTTATATCCATGATTAACTAGACGATATAATGACAGGACACAGTTAATTGTTTTAGACGAAACTGCATTTTCATAGACAGTAATTTGCAAAACTTTCGTTAACAGGCATTGTGAAAAGTATACTTGAAGTTGAGGACAAAATGTGCCAGTTAAATAAATGTGCATCTCGTGAGCCCTTTAGAGCAGTCTAATTTTTGTTAGTATGAATAACGTGCGAATATTATCCAAAATAGTTGTTTTTTTAACCTTCTTTACTGAATACGAAAACTTTCCACACTAGCAAGACATGAATCGGAAAATGTTTGCATTATTACACAAAAAGCTACATTTATCACTTTCTGTCACAATAGGTTAAGAAAAAGTAGAAAACGCGATCCCTTCCTTCCCGCTACTCGACACTCTAGGTAAAAAACGTTTCACAAAAAATCACTGTAAATGCATTTCCTTGAAATGTGTTATCAGTGTTGCATATGTGCTGAAAAAAGAGAAGAAAACAGCATAACTTTTGAAAAAATGGTCTGATCCTGCTGATTTGCGAACTCGACCTGTATTTTATGAATATTCATATGTTCCATAAAATTTGAAGACAAAAGGTAAAACATTTTCCACTTCTCGTGTTATCGGTGAAAGTGCACGTCGAAGACAGACGCAGGTGACGGCTATATGTACAGAAACATCTGTGTCTATATTAAAACTATAAAAAAAAAAACATTTCATTTCCAGATGTTAAAATACGACGGTGTCTCTACAGCAGTCTGGGTGTCTCAACCGATTGTGCTGATTGTTGTGATGTCGATTATTTTAGAAAGTCAGTTAAAACAAAAGTACGTCACTTTTTAAGCCAGGCTCACCCGGTTGTGTGTATTTTCTGACAATATAGCAGAATAAATGCGTTAGAGGTGATCTGAGGGGAAGTATATATCAGATATATCATTTGTCATTTAGACCTTTATTGCGTCCCAGGTGTTTTTAATACCCGTGCGTACACAAAATTGATTTCAGGAAGATGCTCATCTCGCTCTTTTCAGTCATATTCTATCATTTCAGTAAATTTCTACCATCAATGCTTTTTAAAATTATTATTTTGTAACAGAATGTAGGCATCCTTTCATAAGTACACCACAGAGGCGTAACAAATCCCGTAGACGGGTAAAGCCTAGATTACATTTAAAATGTGGTGCCCGTGCGGTTGCACGTATACTGCCTTTAATACCCTTTTCGTACAGAATCGTACGGATTTAAGGCCATGCAATGTAGACATACTCGGCGTAGCCTGTAGCTCCTTACGATTAAAAAAATCGCACGGACAATTTCATCGGACGGTGCCTATGTAAATGTAATCTAGGCTTAACTCACAAAGGTCTTTTAGCTGCTACAAAATTGTATAAGATAGAGTATATAGAAGGTTTGGAGTCAAGGCAATTGGGTTGCTGCCCTAATCTAATGTGAGGAGATCAATATAATTCATAATTATGGGAAAAGCGAGAAAATGTCCATCTCTGGTGGGGCGGGGAGGGGGGGGGGACAAAGGAGTGAACGAGTCAGCACATTTGCGTGCTTTGTTAATTGTTACCGTCACATCGGGAATCTCAGGGCTTCCGTAGTGAGCAGACTATGGTCTGTGTCCCCGGTCAAATATGCGAGGACACAAAAACGGGGAACACAACCCATTTTAAATGCACAACAATTCATTCCACCCACAAGTCGAATATCTAAATATCCATTTTGTATTGTGTATGAGCAATACGTGGGGCATTAAAAAAGCCTTACATATGTCAGGACCTTAATTGTGTTGGTTAGAAATAGACCTATATGCTTTGACTCACTCAGAAATGGCCAGCTCCCACGGCTTATTTTAGACACCAGCCGACAAATGCATGTCGTAGACGTGCCAGAGATGTTAATGTCCTGTCGTTGGAAAAAGCTTAGCCTTAACTTGGGTAGCAATTGCCATGTAGGCATCTATTTAAAGATTGTCAGATGTGAAAATTATCAGACCTATTTCACGTAGTGGTTTTGCGGTAAGGGGGCAACTCTATATCAGGGCTACGTGGTTTGAAATGATATATCTAAAATAGAAACAATATGTTAATTGTTATATCTTTAAGTACAGTGTCTTTATTTTAGAAATGTTAGTGCCTTTGTTTAAAAAGACGAATAGAATATAACCAACCGCATTTAATTCTTGTTTAGGGCAAATATTCTAACCAAACAGTCCTTAAAGAAATATCGTTTTGGTGTGAAGAAGGATATTTATTTACTGACCACGGTGTATCAACAGGCTATTAAGGCCTCTACACCGTCGCTTCACATTATCATATGTGACAGAAAACTAAGAATTCAATTTTTTCAAAGACATGTTTTGTCATATCATGTCGTCTGTTTAAGATAGAGTACGTTATTTGAGGACAGATGCGTTGCAACGCACCACGGCGCGAGATTTAGGGAAGTTTCAATTGGCTCACAATTGGACTATGATTTAAATTTTCATGTAAATAACGTAATATGGATTAAAAAAACTCAATTTTTACTTAAATATCAAACAAAGAAAGCCCAAGCTTTACACGAAAACAAAGACCAACTTTAAACACCATAAATTTGTTGCCAGTCATTTATACTCAGAAGAAGTCAACATTTTAGTTCCCTCCCCTCCCCCCCAAAAACACACACACACACACACACACACACACACACACACACACACTTACACGCAGCAGCTGCCATCATCCTCAAATCTCTGGTCCTGAGGGTGTTTCTTCTGCATGAAAAAGAGGCATTGAGAATATGGTGGGTGAGGGAGAAGGAGAAGCTCGAACTCAGAGACAGAAACGCGCACAGATTACATCGCAACTCGGCTGGACGAGCAAGGAGTTCCAGTGAAGTACAACCACGACTGATTTTATTTTATTTATTATTATCATTTTCATTATTTTTATTATTATTATTATTATTATTATTATTATTATTATTATTATTATTATTATTATTAATTTATTTATTTATTTATTTATTTATTTATTATTTTTATTATTTTTTTTTTTTTTTGAGGGGTGGGAGTGGGGATTGGGGCATGTCTCTTCCAATTAGGATTGCATTGTCACCAAAGAAATTGCAGTCAGGAGCATGATCTTAAGCTAAATATGTGAGGCTCAAAACTTTTTGGAATCATTGTTGAAAAATAGAGCAGTATAAATTCAAACATCTTGCTTTATTTGTATTGTAAACATTTCTTGACTTCGCAAGTCTTACAGAAAAAGGTCAATATATTTGCAACGTGAAAGAAGAAGAATACCCTTTTTTATTACAATGACTCCGATGACTTTGAATGCCAATATGACAGAATCTGAAGCAAGGGAAATCCATTGATAAAATACGACTTTGGTATTACCTTCAGGACACACCTTAAATTGTCTAGTGTCCTTAACTGAATTCTATTCACAAACCAATGCCAGGTTCAATTCTTTAGATAATTCTGTCTCTGGGAAAATAAGGAAATCAAGTCGTATACAAGCTTGGTGGATCGGAGAAATGGCCTATTCATCGCAATACACGTATAAAGTATACTGATAACCCGACACATTGTCGAGACGTTAATTATACCATCAGGAGGTTTTACCCCATCTTCATTCCAAGGCGTTTCGTGCTAGCCACTATACGTGCATTCTTTCAATCTAGGTAGACATACCATTGGCGAGGCGGGAGGGTTACAGAATGTCGATCCACCACTTGTTGCTGTCCAGCTTCAAAATTATAAATTGAATAATAACCTAAAATTCGATATGTATTTATTTTTTACTAAATGATTAAATGGCAATATGTGAAACATGGATCCATGACCCTCATTGTGGGTTTGTTTTTCTTTTCAGAGGTGGATACAACATTTGTGGAGCACTCTGGAACTGGATGTATGCTTTTTATTTCAAGTTCATAACTTAGTGGATGTAAGAGCGTACTCTTTATTTTTCACAGTGTTAAAAGCCACCTCAGCAAGATTGGGCTCTTTTAGCGGAGAAACTTTTGCAACATTTTAAATAAGCATTTGGACAGTGGTTGCTAAAGGATGGCATTTCTTTGTTGATTTTTACTTTTTACCTTGGATTGCTTGAATTACGAAGGAACACGTTGATTTTGATATTGAAATTCTAATATATATAAAATTAAAAATTGCTCGTAAAATCTCTCGAGACAAATAATTGCTTCTAGGTAACCACTTCTACGGACTAGAAGAGAACAATCGTAGAACTTTATTTATATTAAAGGGACAGTTCACGGGATTCTTTGCGTTTTAAAATCTTTATCTTTATTGAGCTCATCTTAAATGCATGTTATATCTTTTAGTAATGTAATGAAACTACTTCTACTCCCTGCTCAAAAATTGTATTTTGTGCGAAGTTAAATGCCTGTATCTTTGTTCAGCGTTGGCAAAGTGAAGAAAATGCAATCTTAAAAACATGCGTTTATAAAATATTTTTTGAGTTTGCAGCGTTGGTTGAAAAATGTGGATGACATCATTAAAATCAGTTATGATTTCTGTAATGGCCAACCACGTACGAAATATCCACAAATGTATCAATCAGCAATCAATCAAAGGTATACTGAACCTTTATGAAACGCATTTTTCATGGAAACCATTATTATGTAACAGAACAAATTGAAAACATTAAAACATTCAGTCTTAATAGATAAAACCTACCTACACGTACATTATTCTGATCAAAAGAGATTGCCGAGGGAAATTATATTAATTTCCACAAATCTTATGAAAATCTTTTCAATTCCTCACATGATGAGGGACATCAATGTCTCTCCGATGACGTGACAAATGCTATTGTCACCTGCATGAAGTAGCTATCTGCCGGTGACGGGAAAAAGCTGTCGGAATTATTGAGCCTTTCGCCCCCACAATGCTGTCATTGTTTGCAGAAACACTGATTGAAGTTTCAAACTCATCATTAAAAGACTTGAGAGCACTGCGCACATATTCATAGATAAATAATATCTTTTGGTGAGAAAATGTCACAATTTTTTGTCAGAAAATAACTAATACATGTAGATAAGGAGAGAGAGAGATAACAAACCAATTCAAATTCCTTTGTTTCAAACACTTTATTGGACGCATGATGATACAAGAACGTGTGCTAAGTATTTGATTAAAGGCATAAGGGGCGAATACTTGGTTTGCCATAAAGTGAATTTGTGGTATGAAGTGAATTTGATTGCGTTTTCGATACTATTGTCAAACGTCAACTTTACGTTCTTCGTAAATTCAAAATATTTCACCTGTAGGCAGTTTTATCTCAATTTTTCCCCGTGCGTGATCTCGACTATCGACTTTTCTACATCTGTTGAAATTTAAATGTACTTTACAATGGGCAACATGGTTATTGACATCTGAACTTGGTTGTCGATAGTAAAACTTTTAAGTTACAAATTATCTTCCCCCTAAGCCTCCAAGTGCAAACTCATCAGTAAGATATATATTTAAAAGTCAAGACTTTATCCATAATTTAACTGTACCAAAATAGGCAACTGATTTTCTCTGTATTTTATAAAATGATTAGAAAAGTTCTATAAACTATTCCGCATGCGGATATGTTTGTAAGAGTACTCCCATGTTTAAGGAAGTTGAATATTTAATCTACACTGTCTTGTCGATCATCACTACATGGAATACAACATTTTTCTACAATTATTTCTTAAATACTTTATGAAATTCTACCAATATCTATAAAGAGCGGAGTAGATTACCGTATAGTGCCGCGTTTAGACAGTCGCTAAAGCTGATTGTGCTCTAAAAAAGAACGCAATTTAGGCGTTTATACAATCTCAAGCCGTTGCAAAGACAAAGCAGTCAACAATTGACAACAATTGTTGACTTATTTATCTTACAACGGGGGCATTTTGTTAATACTGCCTAAACCGAAGCAACCTTTGGTCCGATCATGTCCAAACGCAGCAAAAGAGACTACAGTTTCAAACCCCGATTGCACAAGCAGGTTGTTTGAGATCCGTGCGCCAGGCATTTCAGAGGAGTAGCGATTCCACTCCACCGATTTACGTAATGGTCTCTTTGACTTTGTTCGCTCTGGGAACGTGTGTGAAGCAGTTCTTAAAGTGTTCTAGTCTCAAAGCACTAAGTGCTTAAAAACTTCCACTTTTACAATGGCTTTACTGTGTTTATAGTGCTAATTTGGAAGGTCAATTATTTCAAACATTATTTTAACCATTACAAACAATTAACAGACTAGAATTCTAGGTAACTCCTCATTTACCACGGCTTTGGCATTGGAATGGTGCATAATTATACAGTTTGTCTTTGCTAACTGGTGATTCCATCCATACTAATAGTTGTGTAGGTGTTACGATCCACACATCTGGATTTGCTAATAGTTCATCTATAAATTCATTCAAAGCTTCTTTTCTATATTTCCACTCTGGCGCGAGGAACCAAGCAGAGTGCATACTAATGCCAAAAGGTGGTTTGTCAGGGGCATCGTGGTGGCGCCTGAAGTTCTCTCTAAGGAATGTAAGAGTATCTGCCTTGGTTTGTGGTCGACAACCATCGACCATCCCACCACAGCCAGTGCTTTTAAAACGCCAAACGTTCAATGGAAGTTCCCAAAGTCCGGAGTCATGTTTGTACGGCCAAATTGGAGTTCCAGTGTTAGTTACCGTTGAATCATAACCAAAGTGGTTTTCTTTTAAAAGTCTAAATAAACCTGGAGGTTTGGCTAAAAATGGCACGCGAACCCCAAGAATATGATTCAAAGGAATTCCCGTGGATTTGCTCTCTATTTCCCTCATACCGACGAATTCTTTTTTAATCTCTTCATAATCTGCAGTCTTCCACCACGTGGTTGGGGTTCTATGGGATATACTGTGATCTGCAATCTCGAATCCCAAATCATACAGCTTTCGTACCTCTTTATATGAAGTGTACTGGTTACTGGCGAATAAGGTTGCGGTTATGCGGCAACCATTTGGGTTTCTACGGTTTGCATTGAAGAGGTCTTGGTACGCTCTAGAACCAGCCACTGTCACTGCGTCGTCGAAGGTGAAGTAAACAAATTGTGGTGTTTGCGATCTGGTGAGCCCCCCTNTTCATATTCTATCATTTCAGTAATTTTCTACCATCAATGCTTTTTAAAATTATTATTTTGTAACAGAATGTAGGCATCCTTTCATAAGTACACCACAGAGGCGTATCAAATCCCGTAGACGGGTAAAGCCTGGATTACATTTGAAATGCGGTGCTCGTGCGGTGCACGTATACTGCCCGTAATACCCTTTTCGTACGGCGTCTGAGCGGAGGTAGACGGTGGCCGTGCGAAATCGCACGAAATTGTACGGATTTAAGGTCATGGAATGTAGACATACTCGGCGTAGCCCGTAGCTCCTTACGATTTCAAAAAAATCGTACGGACGATTTCATCGCACGGTGCCCATGTAAATGTAATCTAGGCTTAACTCCCCTACAAAGGTCTTCTAGCTGATACAAAATTGTATAAGATAGAGTATAGAAGGTTTGGAGTCAAGGCAATTGGGTTGCTGCCCTAATCTAATGTGAGGAGATCAATATAATTCATAATTATGGGAAAAGCGAGAAAATGTCCATCTCTGGTGGGGCGGGGAGGGGGGGGGGGACAAAGGAGTGAACGAGTCAGCACATAATTTGCGTGCTTTGTTAATTGTTACCGTCACATCGGGAATCTCAGGGCTTCCGTAGTGAGCAGACTATGGTCTGTGTCCCCGGTCAAATATGCGAGGACACAAAAACGGGGAACACAACCCATTTTAAATGCACAACAATTCATTCCACCCACAAGTCGAATATCTAAATATCCATTTTGTATTGTGTATGAGCAATACGTGGGGCATTAAAAATACCTTACATATGTCAGGACCTTAATTGTGTTGGTTAGAAATAGACCTATATGCTTTGACTCACTCAGAAATGGCCAGCTCCCACGGCTTATTTTAGACACCAGCCGACAAATGCATGTCGTAGACGTGCCAGAGATGTTAATGTCCTGTCGTTGGAAAAAGCTTAGCCTTAACTTGGGTAGCAATTGCCATGTAGGCATCTATTTAAAGATTGTCAGATGTGAAAATTATCAGACCTATTTCACGTAGTGGTTTTGCGGTAAGGGGGTAACTCTATATCAGGGCTACGTGGTTTGAAATGATATATCTAAAATAGAAACAACATGTTAATTGTTATATCTTTAAGTACAGTGTCTTTATTTTAGAAATGTTAGTGCCTTTGTTTAAAAAGACGAATAGAATATAACCAACCGCATTTAATTCTTGTTTAGGGCAAATATTCTAACCAAACAGTCCTTAAAGAAATATCGTTTTGGTGTGAAGAAGGATATTTATTTACTGACCACGGTGTATCAACAGGCTATTAAGGCCTCTACACCGTCGCTTCACATTATCATATGTGACAGAAAACTAAGAATTCAATTTTTTTCAAAGACATGTTTTGTCATATCATGTCGTCTGTTTAAGATAGAGTACGTTATTTGAGGACAGATGCGTTGCAACGCACCACGGCGCGAGATTTAGGGAAGTTTCAATTGGCTCACAATTGGACTATGATTTAAATTTTCATGTAAATAACGTTATATGGATTAAAAAAACTCAATTTTTACTTAAATATCAAACAAAGAAAGCCCAAGCTATACACGAAAACAAAGACCCACTTTCAACACCATAAATTTGTTGCCAGTCATTTATACTCAGAAGAAGTCAACATTTTAGTTCCCTCCCCTCCACCCCCCCAACACACACACACACACACACACACACACACACACACACACACTTACACGCAGCAGCTGCCATCATCCTCAAATCTCTGGTCCTGAGGGTGTTTCTTCTGCCTGGAAAAGAGGCCTTGAGAATAAGGTGGGTGAGGGAGAAGGAGAAGCTCGAACTCAGAGATAGAAACGCACACAGATTACATCGCAACTCGGCTGGACGAGCAAGGGGTTCAAGTGAAGTACAACCACGACTGATTTTTTTTTTTTTTTTTTTTTTTTTTGGGGGGTGGGAGTGGGGATTGGAGCATGTCTCTTCCAATTGGGATTGCATTGTCACCAAAGAAATTGCAGTCAGGAGCGCATGATCCTAAGCTAAATATGTGAAGCTCAAAACTTTTTGGCATCTTTGTTGAAAAATAAAGCAGTATAAATTCAAACATCTTGTTTTATTTGTACTGTAAACATTTCTTGACTTCGCAAGTCTTACAAAAAAAGGTCAATATATTTGCAACGTGAAAGAAGAAGAATACCGTTTTTATTACAATGACTCCGATTGCTTTGAATGCCAACATGACGGAATCTGAAGCAAGGGAAATCCATTGATAAAATACGACTTTGGTGTTACCTTCAGGACACACCTTAAATTGTCTAGTGCCCGTAACTGAATTCTATTCACAAACCAGTGTCAGGTTTAATTCTTTAGATATTTCTGTCCTTGGGAAAAAAATAAGTACATCAAGTCGTCTGCAAACTTGGTTGAGGAGAAGAAAAGGAACGGAGGAATGGCCTATTCATCGCAATACACGTATAAAGTATACTGATAACACGACACATTGTCGAGACGTTAATTATACCATCAGGAGGTTTTACCCCATCTTCATTCCAAGGCGTCTCGTGCTAGCCACTATACGTGCATTCTTTCAATCTAGGTAGACATACCATTGGCGAGGGGGAGGGAGGTTACAGAATGTCGATCCACCATTTGTTGCTGTCCAGCTTCAAAATCATAAATTAAATTCAATATGTATTTATTTCTTACTAAATGATTAAGTGGCAATATGTGAAACATGGATCCATGACCCTCATTGTGGCTTTGTTTTTCTTTTCATAGGTGGATACAACATTTGTGGAGCCCTCTGGATCTGGATGTATGCTTTTTATTTCAAGTTCACAACTTAGTGGATGTAAGAGCGTACTCTTTATTTTCACAGTGTTAAAAGCCACCTCAGCAAGATTGGGCTCTTTAAGCGGAGAAACTTTTGCAACATTTCAAATAAGCATTTGGACAGTGGTTGCTAAAGGATGGCATTTCTTTGTTGATTAAGAATTGCTCGTAAAATCTCTCTAGGAAAATAATTGCTTCTAGGTAACCACTTCTACGTATTTGAAGAGAACAATGGTAGCACTTTATTTATATTAAAGGGACAGTTCACGGGATTCTTTGCGTTTAAAAATCTTTATCTTTATTGCGCTCGTCTTAAATGCATGTTATATCTTTTAGTAATGTAATGAAACTACTTCTACTCCCTGCTCAAAAATTGCATTTTGTGCGAAGTTAAAAATGCCTGTATCTTTGTTCAGCGTTAGCAAGTGAAGAAAATGCAATCTTAAAAACATGCGTTGATGAAATATTTTTTGAGCGATGGTTGAAAAATGTGGATGACATCATTAAAATCCGTTATGATTTCTGTAATGGTCAACCACGTACGAAATATCCACAAATGTATCAATCAGCAATCAATCAAAGGTAAACTGAACCTTTGTGAAACGCATTTTTCATGGAAACCATTATTATGTAACAGAACAAATTGAAAACATTAAAACATTCAGTCTTAATAGATAAAACCTACCTACGCGTACATTATTCTGATCAAAAGAGATTGCCGAGGGAAATTATATTAATTTCCACAAATCTTATGAAAATCTTTTCAATTCCTCACATGATGAGGGGCATCAATGTCTCTCCGATGACGTGACAAATGCTATTGTCACCTGCATGAAGTAGCTATCTGCCGGTGACGGGAAAAAGCTGTCGGAATTATTGAGCCTTTCGCCCCCACAATGCTGTCATTGTTTACAGAAACACTGATTGTTTCAAACTCATCATTAAAAGACTTGAGAGCACTGCGCACATATTCATAGATAAATAATATCTTTTGGTGAGAAAATGTCACAATCTTTTGTCAGAAAAGAACTAATACATGTAGATAAGGAGAGAGAGATAACAAACCAATTCAAATTCCTTTGTTTCAAAAACTTTATTGGACGCATGATGATACAAGAACGTGTGCTAAGTATTTGATTAAAGGCATAAGGGGCGAATAATTGGTGTGCCATAAAGTGAATTTGTGGTATGAAGTGAATTTGATTGCGTTTTCGATACTATTGTCAGACGTCAACTTTACGTTCTTCGTAAATTCAAAATATTTCACCTGTAGGCAGTTTTATCTCAATTTTTCCCCGTGCGTGATCTCGACTATCGATTTTTCTACATCTGTTGAAATTTAAATGTACTTTACAATGGTCAACATGGTTATTGACATCTGAACTTGGTTGTCGATAGTAAAACTTTTTAGTTACAAATTATCTTCCCCCTAAGCCTCTTAGTGCAAACTCATCAGTAAAATATATATTTTACAGTCAATACTTTATCCATAATTTAACTGTACCAAAATAGGCAACTGATTTTCTCTGTATTTTATAAAATGATTAGAAAAGTTCTAGAAACTATTCCGCATGCGGATATATTTGCAAGAGAACTCCCATGTTTAAGGAAGTTGAATATTTAATCTACAGTCTTGTCGATCATCACTACATGCGATACAACATCTTTCTACAATTATTTCTTAAATACTTTATGAAATTCTACCATTATCTATTATCATTATCTAAAGAACGCAGTAGATTACCGTATAGTGCCGCGTTTAGACAGTCGCTAAAGCTGATTGTGCTCTATAAAAGAACGCAATTTAGGCGTTTATACAATCTCAAACCGCTGCAAAGACAAAGCAGCTAACAATTCACAACAATTGTTGACTTATTTATCTTACAACAGGGTCATTTTGTTAATACTGCCTAAACTGAAGCAACCTTTGGTCCGATCATGTCCAAACGCAGCAAAAGAGACTACAGTTTCAAACCCCGATTGCACAAGCATTACAATTTGTTTGAGATCCGTGCGCCAGGCAGTTCAGAGGAGTAGCGATTCCACTCCACCGATTTCTACGTAATGGTCTCTTTGACTTTGTTCGCTCTGGGAACGTGTGTGGAGCAGCTCTTAAAGTGTTCTAGTCTCAAGTACTAAGTGCTTAAAAACTTCCACTTTTACAACGGCTTTACTGTGTTTATAGTGCTAATTTGGAAGGTCAATTATTTCAAACATTATTTTAACCATTACAAACGATTAACAGACTAAAATTCTAGGTAACTCCTCATTTACCACGGCTTTGGCATTGGAATGGTGCATAATTATATAGTTTGTCTTTGCTAACTGGTGATTCCATCCATACTAATAGTTGTGTAGGTGTTACGATCCACACATCTGGATTTGCTAATAGTTCATCTATAAATTCATTCAAAGCTTCTTTTCTATATTTCCACTCTGGCGCGAGGAACCAAGCAGAGTGCATGCTAATGCCAAAAGGTGGTTTGTCAGGGGCATCGTGGTGGCGCCTGAAGTTCTCTCTAAGGAATGTAAGAGTATCTGCCTTGGTTTGTGGTCGACAACCATCGACCATCCCACCACAGCCAGTGCTTTTAAAACGCCAAACGTTCAATGGAAGTTCCCAAAGTCCGGAGTCATGTTTGTACGGCCAAATTGGAGTTCCAGTGTTAGTTACCGTTGAATCATAACCAAAGTGGTTTTCTTTTAAAAGTCTAAATAAACCTGGAGGTTTTGCTAAAAATGGCACGCGAACCCCAAGAATATGATTCAAAGGAATTCCCGCGGATTTGCTCTCTATTTCCCTCATACCGACGAATTCTTTTTTAATCTCTTCATAATCTGCAGTCTTCCACCACGTGGTTGGGGTTCTATGGGATATACTGTGATCGGCAATCTCGAATCCCAAATCATACAGCTTTCGTACCTCTTTATATGAAGTGTACTGGTTACTGGCGAATAAGGTTGCGGTTATGCGGCAGCCATTTGGGTTTCTACGGTTTGCATTGAAGAGGTCTTGGTACGCTCTAGAACCAGCCACTGTCACTGCGTCGTCGAAGGTGAAGTAAACAAATTGTGGTGTTTGCGATCTGGTGAGGCCCCCTGGCAGTGAAGATCCTGAAAGAATCAAATATTGACAATGTTAGAATCTACGACTAATAGTGAGTTTACTCTTGAAGGTGATCATGTTTTATAAATTTGCATGAAAACATAATGTTAAAACGTAATGTTCACAAACTATAGTTACGACTTCATTGTTCCAAATCATTTCATCAACATTAATTTAATGTTCAATGACATATATCGTTTGTATGAAAAGGACAATAAGTAGACATTATGACTGATTTTAAGTATTAATTTATAAAAGATTAACTTTCTCCAAATACTAATTTACTTTTTTTATATCGTAACCAGAAGATGGTTGATTGTTTTATATATCACACCATTAGAAGGCTGATGGCACTGATACCTGTACTGAACAAAAGGGAGACGGCTTAATTAAGGTAGAGTCGTTAGTCTACCAGTCAATTGGATTAATTGCAACATTTCATGATTGCTGAGCATATGTTTCAAATACTGGTGCTCATTAGTGTTTCTCATGAAACTGGACGTAGAGAGGAAGAAAGACCGCTTCTTTCGTGATTCCCATAAAGCCTTGCTGATACCCACTGACCATGCTACCAAACGATCGCACTCCAAATACACTTCATCTAAATCGCCAAGATCTGGCTGATTAGAAGCCGCCTGGGCACCTTAACCTTCGGTGCTTTCCCATTGAAGGGTCATCGTGTATACTTTATGGTGACTACCACTGGATTGGGTAGAGTAGAAGAGCGGGCAATTTATATAATAAAGTGTCTGTATACCATTCATGCATAAAGTCATTTTGAAATAAAATAATGGTTCGTTTAACCATAGCAGTTCTATTACATTGATATCGGCGTAGACAGAGGCTTACTGTTAGTACATTGGTCACCTAATTAATAAGTCCAGCAGACCTGCTTCCGAGTGCAGTTGTGGTAGATTGTTTAGATTACGCGTAGACATGGTCTACCATCACTAAATTGCTTTTAAACATGTTTCTGAAAATTGCCTCATTCAAAAAAGTTAGTTAGAAAAGTTGCGTTATGTCTGCCACCAGAAAAAGATGCCAAAAGTACTTTTCACGCTTAAAGAATTACAATAACCGTTTTTTTTCTTTTTTTTCATTAAAATATTGTATTATCATAATTTTAATTGGTATTATTGGCACGCTTTCAGAATATTCGTTTTTTTAAGACGTCATCCTTGAATATCTACAAATGAAATCGAAATCTGTCTAAGGTACTCGTGGTGACCAGAATTACGTAAAATGAAGACCTGTGATTGTCCGCTTTCTTTCACCGTTTCAGCAGGTAGTGGGTGGGGAGGTGGTTCCTGCTTTTAAGCTATGAAACACGTTCAATTAAAAACAAGGCCTTTACAAGATTATCTGAAGTATATTGTTTCATATCTTACTATGTAATCGTTTAAAAATTTGACTTTGGCGTGTTCGGTACTTTTTTGCACGTTCCTAAATTTCATTTGATAAAAAAAGCGCATCCTCATTTGTAATTATAGTTGACAAGGAAAGAAACTGGTGAATAGCACATTTCGTTCATCAAGACGATAGTCCTTGGAAATTTTCAAAGATAAATTTTCGTTGTCGCACTTATGAATGATTTTAACAGAAGATGCATTTAAAATAAGTCGCCTGATAGAGGTTGAAATAATGGGCATAACATTGCCTTTAAGTTCAACGGCGTGATCAGAATTTTTCATAGCCTTTTGAATATTTCAAACAACGTCACGAGTGTGCGATTTTGACTGGTATGGAGTACTGCTTTGGCAATCGCTTTTCGACGTGTTGATGTAAAAATATTAGCACGTTTTATTAAAGCAAAAGTACTAAAGACCATTCATTATCTACCATATAAGATATACGATAGAAACAAAGGTCTATTGTTTCTTTACTTAAGTACACATATCTAAGAATTGGTCTCATTAGAGGACTTTGTTGGTTTGTGTTCTTTTTCTTTCTTTGCTTTTTTTCTTTCTTTCTTAAGAATTACTGTAACTGTGGGAACTTGTGATAACATTAAACACTACTACACATCAAGGTGAAATTTCGATGACTTCACTTTCGATAGACAACAGATAATGAAACCCAGACAGATTGCAAAAGAAAGTATTGAAAATCTCAGTTTGTACAAACAATCTGATCTTCAAACACCTTGCAGAAATCTGAAAAGCTGTAGTTACTGTTATTACTCACCCTCCGAAAATGTCTGTGCTGGGAATGCCTGAACCCGTGATGTTTGATATGCTCCCCCGCTGTTTGGATACGATCCTCCTCCTCTTCCTCCCGTTCCCACTCCTCCTCCAAATCCTCCACCAACAGGATATTGGCTTCCTCGAGGAATAGCAGGATTACGAGCGGGCAAAAATGTATTGGAAGGGCTGCCTTGGACGTTGAATGTGGCCGTCGGTGGGAACAGGCCGCCCATACGCGGCTTCACGGGACTGTTATTAGCAGGGCCATAGTTGATGACCTTTACTTGATTTCCTTGTTTAGAGTTGGCAGCGACTATGTTGGCTAGTGCTATGGAGTTGAACAGACCGGAAAGGGGACCGGGAAGGACCTGTGCTTGCGAAAATGATGGTAACGGGACTAGGTCGGATGGGAAAGAGGAAGAAGACGAAGAACCAATCTGAAGAGAAGAACTTTCCAGCCCAGAGGAAGACGGTTTTACGTATCCGGAGACTGCCTGACCATCGCTCATTACGTGTGAAATCGCATCATTTGCGGTCGCTGCGGTTTGGTCCCCTGATGTTTGGTGTTGTTGTGACCCTGCAGCGTTTCCTTTGCTCGGAGGGACAGAGCTGACCTTGTATTGACAACCAACAGTTGTAGGACCCGTGGCGACGCAGGTACCACCATGGGGGCAAAATTGGAACCCGCGAGACATGGTACCCCCTGCGTTGCAGACATCCTGGGCATATCTCCGTCTCTCTGAGTCACTGGGATCGCAAACTTGGACAAGTATCTTCCCTGGTTCACAAGCTAAAATAAATGTCAAAGGTGCATTATTGAAATTTGCTCATTAAACTTTTTTCTTTATTAATGTTATTTTTGAATGCTCATATCCAAATCTGCACATTCATCGGTCAAATTGCAGCAAATGGCCAATTCTAAATCAAAACCGCCATTACATAAATGTCTTGGCGACGACTCGTTTATCTTTAAAATCATACGAATATATAAGTCAGCGAAATTGTCATACCAATTGCAGATAATTTATCTACGAAAGACAGCGTATATTATATATAGCAATATACACAGTAACAGTCTTAAGACAGCTGAAATAAGGTGTCTATGCCATTTGTACCATCCAAATTAAAGAAATTATTATTATAACATAGTACTAAGTATTAGTAATAGATGTATCTTGGTGACTTCATGCAGATAAACATTTTATTATATAGTTTTTTTTTATCTTGTTCTTCTTTTCAGACGATAAATTATCTCAAATCGGCTTATTGGAATTATAATGAAAAATAACAATACAGTTTTCTAATACGCGTGACAATTTGTCTGTGTAGGTCAAGTAAGTATACACTGTCGCGACAAGTAATGATGGCCAATGGATTATTAGCATGGGTAAGGGTATTCAATGACCAAGGAAGTCTTTATCATTTCTATCATTTTATCTACTTATATAAACATTTTTTCAGCGAACCGGTATTATGCAACAATTTCTGTGATATAAATATATAGTATTTATTCAAATACTATATATTTATATATATAAATACTATATATATAAATATATAGTATTTGAATAAATGTCTAATTTTTCCAAAAACAAATTTTGTTAGTTTTGGCTTTTTTATCAGTAGACAAAAAAGCTACATCTTGGGTACCTCGGCGCACGTGAAAACATTGTTTCGTAACTTACTTTTACCGCCTGGCACGAGGGCGCTTTTCCGGGGTAGCCCCTGGGGCGCCGATGCCACTGCGTTCACTTCTGAACTCTGTTGTACTCCACTGTTCACCGAATTATCCGCGTTTATTCTCTTGCAAGCTCCATTGCGGCAGATAGTTCCCATGGCACAACCAAACAAGCTAGGGTTGGTGTTCCCCTTCCTGCACAAAATGACGGCATTTTGGTTGGAAGGGTGACAGAACGATTCTTCTTGAAGTCCCGAACATTGCACATTCTGTGCGTTCAAGCATTGCACCTTCATCAACAAAGCTGTGCAAAGCACCAGCAAGACGGGCCGAGTAAGCGATGACATCTTGGCAGCGACACTCCGATATTGTTATTTACACTGGAGCAACCCCTGCCCGCCTGAATGCGACGTTCGAGACAGTAGGACTGTAGCGATTTGACGTTTTCATTGATACATATATATATATGACAGGTGGCACCACCAATCGGGGAACCCCAAGTCGCGTGAACAAAAAGTATAATGTTCCCTTACCACAAGACAAAAGGGTCACAGGTTGTTTCCCAAGGCTTAGATAGAAATCTTTTACATACGAAAATGTGATGCTATCATATTCATATTTCGCTGCTGTATAATTCATTCATTCATCGAAGCTACTGAAGTACTAGTGAAGCGAGGCAACGAAGACCGGATGTAATGGAAATTATAAGGGTTAATTTTTATATTAAAGATATGGGCGGCTTAGGGTGACGATTATGACTCAGATAGAGACTTGTTCGTTTTGGGAAATGATATATAAGCAAAGCACTCCTTATGTTGCCGCAGTTTGATATCAATATGTACGAGTGATTGCTTCATTTGTTACAATTGTTATTTTCATTAAAGCTCATCTGTAACCCTTTGTCACCGTCGGTAATCACTTAAAAGGTGGGAATAAACAGGCATTTGACATGGAGAGTTTAGTTTAACACTAACAATAACAAATCGGTAAACATTTTGTTCAAATGATGAATCTTGAATTAAAAAATGAGGTGCTATCATGCACTTCATCTTCATTGCAGTTTCTTACTAAAATATCAGTTAATCAAGCGTTTATGTTTCCACAGTATATAGGCAATAAAGATAACTTTCGAATATAATAATCTGGTTACTTATTTTAATGGGCAAAGTTTTGTTTGACATAGCATAATTGAAAAAGTAAACAAAAAGTAACAATGAGAACACCATTAACAACCAGTAATTTCTTACGTGAAAACCAATGACCCCCATTTCATGTACTTAATGTAACGGATGGAAATGAATCAAACAAAGAATTACCTAATAATATGCAGATTGTATTTTCTTTATTTGTACATACAGGTCTTACAATCTTGATTCCTGCTTTTACAAGAAAGACTTGGCCTGTTATCTGTGAGCAAGTGTCTAACATCATTTTCATGGCAGGAGTAACCTAATGTCATCCCTACGGAAATATGTTTTGATTCACTCAGTTCTTTTTAAAAGGTGGATTTGAAAGTGACTCTCATGCGGAATCTTACGTTTTAACACCGGTGACAACTCAACATCAGTTCACCTGAGGAAGGACTTGTGATAAGGTCGAAACGTTGTGATTCCGTTTCGAAACGTAAGATCCAGCATGAGGGTCAACTCAATTCCATCTTTATCTTTCTTTATTTTATGTGATGTTTCTTCAGTATGTCTTACTGACAGTGAAAAAGATTCACACACTTCCTTGAAATGTAAAGTTTAACTTCCTATAATACAGAGTTTGTATTACATAAACATAAGAATGAGTGAGATACCCTGAGATGCATTGTGACTGATTACTAGGAGAAATTGAGGTATGCTTTTCCTTCTGGATGCACTCAAGAGGAAACGAAAGTGAAAGTGCAAGAGTTGGAATTTACAGCAGATCTGTTTTCTTAGCACTGAAAGGGCAGAAATGACCCCATGCTGTGCACCGGGGTAGGGTCTGCTATCCAGTCAAGGATTTTGAACGCAGGGACAATCCAAACGTTTTTTTTCTCTGAAATCTCTTCCAGAAACGCATGTATCGCCTTTAAATTGTGATCCCATGCAAACCAAGCAGCATGCATATTTAATCCAAACGGTGGCCGTGTCGGAGCGTTGTAATGGCGATAAAAATTTGCTCGTATATAATGGAGTGCTTCAGCAAAAGTTTCAGTGTGGCAACTGTCAATCATTGGTAAACCTATAAGCGGGGACCGTGGACAGAAGTATAATTTATTGAGAGGTATTTCCCAGAGACCAGGGTAGCTTTGCACTGGACATGGATATTGGTACCCAGAACACTGGACATATGCAGGAGGGGAGTCAAGGCTAAATGGCCACAGCGGCGCTTGACTCTGTTCTACGAAAGTGGTCATCGTTGCATCATAAGTAAACTGTCTGTTTTGCAGCATCGAAAACTGCACATCACCCCCGACGGCTAAAAACGGCGATCTCATTCCGCGAATCGCCGATCCTGGTATACCAGCAAGACGAGAGGACAGTTGTCGAAAGCCATCGATTTCGTTTTCCCACAGTTTATAAGGGGCACCTGCCCACCACGCTGGAGGGACGCGGTGACTGATACTGTGACTGGCTATCTCATGACCGTCACCATACAGCTTCTTCATCAGACTATAGCTGTTGCTCACGTTACAGACGTTGAATGTGGCTCGAATGGGACAATTGTTGGGATTTCGGTATTTCCCTCCAAACAGGTCCTGATAAAATCCGTAAACCACCGGAGTTATGGCGTCGTCAAAGGAAAAGTAGACAAGATGGGGAGTTTCATCTCTTCGCAACCCTCCTGGTATGCTGTCATTTATGTATAATGTGTAGTTTTCTGGATTAATAAAGGATACGAGTAATTAACCAATGAAAATTGAGTAATTGTTTGTGCACTGTTTAAGATTTTTCTTGTTATGAAAAAAATAAATAAATAATGTATAAAGCGAAAGAGAAAAATAAGAGAATTAAAAAAGTAAAAAGCAAAGTTTAAACAAAGGTGAAATTAAAAACAAAACAAGCTAAGATAAAAAGTCTAGGAGTAAAAATAAACAAGCAAAAATTTATAAATGAAATAAAGAAGATAAATGAAAAAGAAAAAAAAAGAAAAAAAGCCAAAGAGGGAAACACCACCATGACCAAGACAGTGTACTAACTAAGACATGTTTCTGGTATAAGGCAGGCAAACAAATTATATGTCACTTGTATTATAAATCAAGTCTAGTTTGTTGGACACAAGTACTAGGTAAGACAGCCAATCATGGAGACTGTACAATACCTGGTGCCAATGGCTGCCTAATAAGTGGACGATCCCAGTCTGGTATTTTGTCAAAGTTGGGCGCATCACTTGGCTTGTATCCACCATACATGGATTCTAAAATACATGCATGCAAATAACATTCACATTAATCAATGCTAATTTATGCACATTCCTAACGATCCCAGCATTATTTGGATACTTTACTTATATTGCATTCTTTATAATTATATCAATATCATTTACTAAATGCCTATGAGTCGAACGAACACTAATGATGCAAAAAAAAAAAATAATAATAAATAAATAAATAAATAAATAATAATAATAATAAGGGGGGGGGGTTAAGATGTTTCATATCAAAAGATAATGTGAAAAGTGTACCATAAACGTATAGACTGTATGTATTTCAAACCAAACAACTGAAAATTGAATATATACTATCCGCGTTCGTACAGAAAGCCATACTGGTAGCGGTCTAAGTGACTGGACAGCCATTTAGAACTTTAAAAAATATCGAATCCAAGTGCAGAAGAGGAAATTTCTATCTGGCAAGAAAATCCTGGACAGGAAACATGTTCCTTAAAGGTATGAAGCACAGAGGCGGATCCAGGATTATTTGAAGGGGAGAGGTTCGAGGATGCGAAGCCGACCCTCCCCCCCCCCCCTTGGTGTGGGGTTCGGGAGCGGCTTAAGGGCCCCGAAAAAATGGTATTTTAGAGGACCAACGGTGTCATTTGGTACGGTTTAGAAATATGATTCAGCTAGTAAAAAATATAATTTCAAGCGGGGACCATTGGTGTGATTTTTTTTTCAGAAATCGAAGGGAGGGGGGTCAGGATCCCCCTGACCCCCCCCCCCCCCCTCTTAATCCGCCACTGGAAGTATTTTGTCAGGTTCGTTTTATCGGACAGACTTGTTTATGCATTTAAATAATATTTGATTATGGATGATTCAGCAGTTAGTTTTATAAGCACACAGAATACTCAACTGCTGCCCAATACCTTTGCATTAGGCACCAAAATGTCAATTTAGAAAGTGGTATTTTTATTCCAGCATTCCTTATTATAAACGAATTATGTAACTAAACGGTCAGATCAAAAGAAACTGAAAATTCACCTCGGGTCATGACACCAGTTTGTAATGGAATCTTGCATGAAGTCTCCAAGAAACAAAAGAAAATAGCATTGATATAATGATAATAATGAACAAATGGATCATGATTACGCCTATAAAAATGCTAACGACTGGCGGTTTTTGCGTACAAGATAACCATTAATCCTTTCAATGATACTATACTATAAGTGAGTGAGGGGGGAAAAATGACCAAAACAACAGCCCGTAAATATCAAGGTAGCCGATGAATTTCTCCCCGTGATATCAAGCCAAGTGCCCCAAAACTATGACACAGGCAGTAAAAAGCTAGAGTAAAGGCACTCGGGGTTATACAATGGCACCCTTATGTATTTTTTTCATTAAGTCAAAGAGGTCATGCAGTTGCATATTAAGGTATGATTCATGAGGTTTGAGAAGTAAAGATACTGATGGGGTATTCTGAACGACGAACGAACAATGTGGTAGCAATGAGACATTACATAAGTAACTGTAATGTGGCATGATTACTCTATGTCTAAAATCATGATGCTTTTCGTTTCCAACGGGACAATTCGACGCCGGAATACAATCACCACAAAGGACCTATTATTCAGAAGAGAACAAAAATTTTAAAGACAAAGAATGATTTTATCTTCAATTGCAGAACATTATGTGAGACAATTGGCCAATGATGTGTGGCAAAAGCTACATGTACTTCACTTCAGATCATTTAGGGTGAAGCTATTTTACATAAAATAATAAAAAATGAGCCTACTAAAACAGCCATGTTCTTTGGTTCAGAAAATAATTATCTGTTAGGGAAGACAATCTATTAATGCCTCTAAAATATATAATTTTAGTCATTGAAACGCCAATAGGACCTTAATCTTACATCCGCGCGTTTTGCACCCGTGAGTTACACATGGGGTCAGCCTATTTGGGGGAGGAATTAATGTCGCATTAAGTTTGGAGGAACACAATTCTCAAAGTCATCATACCACTATATATGTAATTACGCTACCACCCAAAAACTCAAAATATCACTGAGGGCAATTGAACG